GTAAACTTAAACTTTTTGGATTAGACCAACGCTTATGTTTGTGGTTTAGTGACTACCTGATGGATAGGAGGCAGAAGGTAAGGATTAATGGTGTATTGTCAGGTTGGAAAGCAGTACTAAGTGGAGTACCTCAGGGAACTATACTCGGCCCCTGCTATTCCTTTTATACGTAAATGAAGTGCCGAAAATTCTTACATCATCTTCCTTACTATTTGCGGACGATATTAAGATATGGAAAACTGGAAAAAGTAACGATGATAGGTTGGTATTACAAAACGATCTAGACAAACTAGCTGAATGGGCTAACCTTTGGAGTCTGGAAATTAATTCCAAGAAAAGCGCTGTAATGCACCTAGGTCAGAAGTCTTACACGTCGTACTCCCTGGGGGATTAACAGAACTGCCAGATGTTAGGAAACAAAAGGACTTGGGAATTATTGTTAGCCGTGACTTAAAAACAACGGCAAACTGTAATCGGGCCGCGGCTAAGGCTTTTCGAATGCTATGGGCACTTCGAAGGGCTTTCAAGCGATTAGACGAGGGCATGTTCCAAGTACTCTATGCAACATATGTCAGGCCTAGTCTATAGTACTGCATACAAGCGGTGGGTCTGCGTTTCAAAAAGGAGGCACATACCTCGGAAAGAGTATAGAGGGTAGGAACAAAATTAGTTAGTGCTATCTCACACCAACTACAAGATTGAATGGACTATTCCTTCGTAATTTGTTGAACGATCAAGGCAGATTGAAATGAGAATGTGCAATTCTACGCAGCATATGAATAATTAAATGAATGCTTTCATGTTCTTCGGTGAATATCTTAACTACCGAAGTAGAAAGCAGTGAAGTTCTCCTCAAATATAGATTTACAGAATATTACTGCTGAGGTTCTTTCTTGGTCTGCTTTAACTTCATCAGTTGGTTATTGTATTTTCAGAAGGAAAAAGAGAGAATCAATTTGAAGGTAGTTTCTAGTCTCATAAAACTCTTATTTTTGTGAAATATCTTGCCGAAAGGTTGCAAAAAAATGTTGCAATTATTTGCCTTTCAAACACTGAATCTTTGGACATAATATTATTGATCGATTATACTTATAACTATCTATTTGCCACTCTGTGCTTGTTCAACACTAACTAATATCTATAATTGTATATATTGATGGATTTACATGTTGAAGTTGACTCAAGTCAGTGAGTATCATTTTGCTTAACTGTGCTTTACTGTGATATTATTATTATTGTCGCTTGTTACCCTTCTTGTTGTGAATTATTTTCCTGTGCTGGTGTTGTTCTGATTGTTTTATTCCCTGTTTCCCTGGTTTAAAGGTTAGCGACCCACAAGGTCGCTTCTCTCTAAACTATGTTTCAATGTAACAATCCCCTTCTCAGCCGTGAGGCTAGCAACCTCACCCTGTAAACAAAGCTGCTACAGAAACTTCGGCACGATGAGTCTCCTTGCGACATAAAGAAAAGCTTGTGTGGGGACATGGAATATCCGCACCATGTACGAGATTGGCAAAGCTGCCCAGATCGCAAACGAAATGAAAAGATATGGAATTCAAGTACTAGGGATATGTGAAAGCAGATGGAACGGGAATGGACTCATCGAATTGTCAACGGGTGAGTCAGTGATCTACTCCGGTCACCCAGAGGATAAACACATGCACGCCGAGGGCGTGGCTATCATGATGTCACCAACGGCAACGAGTGCCCTGATGCAATGGGAGGCAATCTCGACCAGGATAGTGACACACCACCAGATTCAACTCCAAAGGAAGGAAAGTGACAATTATAGAATACTATTCACCCACAAACAACGCAGACCTCGAAAAGAACGAAGAGTTTTACAAACAACTACAGGCAACAATAGACAATACTCCAGTCAGTGACATTAAAATTCTAATGGGAGACATGAACGCCAAACTGGGACCAGACAACACGGGAAGGGAACTCATCATAGGTAAAGAAGCTCTGGGAGAGATGAATGAAAATGGAGAACTCTTCGCCGACTTCTGCGCCTTCAATGAACCAGTGATTGGTGGCAGTGCATACAAACGCAAGGATATCCACAAAGCTACATGGGTGTCACCAGATAGGCGAACCAGAAACCAAATTGACTTCATCTCAATGCTGCTCAAGGAAGTGGAGGCGCAGCCTACTGGACACAAAAGTAGGAAGAGGAGCAGACGTTGGCTCAGACCACTACCTCGTACAAGGGACAATCCAAACCAAATTAAAAGCTTTCAGAGAAACAGGAGCTGCAAATAGACCACAAGCCAAGTTCAACACTCAAAAACTGAAGGACCAGGACACAAAGGACATCTTCACTGTAGGCATAAAGGACAAAGCCGAGACAAAAATCAACACTGGCGAAGAGGTCAGCGTCGAAAAGCACCGGAACAACTCGAAAACAGTGTGGAGTCAAACCTGCATGGAAGTTATAGGCAGAAAGAAGAGACAAAACAAACAGTGGCTCACTACGGACGCTTGAAGGCTTATAGAAGAGAGAGGGATGGTGAAACGGAAGATTCTACAGTGCACCGATGAGCAACAAAAACAGGATTTGAACACAAGCTACAAGACACTGAACAAAAGAGTAAAGAAGAGTGCCAGTGAAGACAAAAGAAAATATCATGAAGCTGTGGCAAGTGAAGCGGAACAAGCTGCAGGCGAAGGAGACCTCGCAGTACTCTACCGAACAACTAGGTTCCTATCGGGAAAAAGTTCGACACAAATTAAGCCAGTGAAGGATGACAATGGAAAGTCACTCAACAAAGAGGTGGAGCAAAGGAAACACTGGGCTGAACACTTCAAAAGACTCCTAAATCGACCACCACCTACAACGCGCCCAGCAATACCAACAACGGAGACAGAGCTACCAGTGAACACTAACCCCCCGACGAGAATAGAAGTCCTGATGGCAATCAAGATGCTAAAAGCTGGTAAAACAGCAGGACTAGATGGAATCCCAGCAGAAGCGTTGAAAATGGACCCAGAGACAACAGCGGACTTGATGACGCCACTACTGGAGAAGGTGTGGAAAGAAGGCAAAGTACCCGAGGATTGGAATAAAGGATACTTATTCAAACCACCAAAGAAAGGAGACCTAAGTCAATGCAAGAACTGGCGCGGAATTATGCTCCTGTCCATCCCAAGCAAAATACTAAGCCGCATCATCCTCGAGAGAATCAAACAAGCCCTGGATGGAAAACTTCGACCGGAAGAGGCTGGATTCAGGAGAAACAAGTCATGTATTGATCAAATCGCCACACTACGGATCATCATTGAACAAAGTTTGGAATGGCAGTCACCTCTCTATCTCAACTTCATCGACTTTGAAAAGGCCTTCGACAGCGTCGATCGAGAGGTGATTTGGAAACTACTTCGCTACTACGGGGTGCCGGCGACAATTATACATCTCATCCAACAGTTGTATGACAACGCTGCATGCCAAGTAACCCACAACGGGAAGCTCACGGAATCCTTCGAAGTGAAGACAGGAGTAAGACAGGGTTGCCTACTATCGCCAATGATTTTCCTGATTGCAGTAGATTGGATAATGCGACAGACAGCGGGCAATGAGGAAACAGGCATAAAATGGACTCACACAAAGAACTTGGAGGATCTGGACTTCGCCGATGATATATGTCTGATTTCCCAAACTGGAAGATATGCAAGTGAAAAGTAACAAGTTGGCAGAAGAAGCATCAAAGATAGGACTCCAGGTGAACATAGAGAAAACGGAGGTGATGAAGATTCCTGGCCAACACCAACAGCCACAGCAACAACAACAGACAACAATCAGCATAAATGGGAGGAACCTGAAAGAAACTACCTCCTTTACCTACTTGGGAAGCATTGTTTCAACTACAGGCGGAACTGACGAGGATATCAAAGCAAGGATCCGGAAAGCAAGGCAAGCTTTCATTACTCTCAAGTCTGTGTGGAGGTCAACAACATTCAGCGTCAAAAATAAGATCCGGATTTTCAACTCCAATGTGAAGTCAGTGCTACTATACGGATCAGAGACTTGCACTGCGCGTCATAAAGAGCATCTCAAACAAACTACAGACCTTCATTAACAGTTGTCTTCGCTCAATACTCAAGATCAGATGACCAGAAAAGTTCATCAGTAGGGACCTGTGAGAGCAAACCGACCAGGAACCGATTGCGCTATAAATATGCAGGAAGAAATGGAGATGGATTGGCCATACTTTGAGGAAACAAACCATCAAGTGACATCACTAGACAAGCCCTTGAGTGGAACCCGAAAGGGAAGGGGGGAGTTGGTCGTCTCTACGAGGGTGACTTGGAGGAGGTCATGTGAAGAGGAGATGAGAGCGTGTGGGCAGACTTGGAGCCAGATGAAAACTCTAGCAGAGAACCGAACGCAATGAAGACACGCGGCTGAAGCCCTATGTTCCTCTAGGAATTAAAGGAAATAATAATAATCTCACACCTTCCTTATGACATGAGGATGGAGCATTTAAATCTCTTCCCATTATCATACCGAAGGAGGAGAAGCGACTTAATTTTGGCTTACCGTATATTCGAGGGTGATTTAGGGATTGACCTTTTAAACCTTTTCTCTTCATCTTGGATACATTCACGGGGTCACCAGAAGAAGATGCTCAAACCGAGGTCGAATAAAATACGTTTGGAGTTTAGATACTCTCACAGAGTTGTCAACGACTGGAACTTCTTATCTGATTCAGTAGTAACAGCTCCATCAATGGACGCTTTCAAAATGAACTGGATCTCTGCAGAGATATATATCGCGAGGATTAACATATGCAAAAAGAGCCTTCTATCCTTATAATCTGAATCTGAATCCCTGTGTTTGATTGGCTCTTGTAGGTCAATTTTTGAAAGACCTTGGCTTTGGCTATGAAGCTCAAACTTCGCCAGACAATTTTTGTCTGTTCAGACCATAGTTAAAGAAGATTTACAGCATTATTTTTTTGGGCTGGTTTGTTTAAGTCTGCTTCTCATACAGATTGAATGGTAAAGGTACGAAACTGAAGGTCAGTACTCTGTGTTAATAATTCCAAAGGGTGACTGCATTATATTTGTATCAATAGGATGCGGACCATAATTTAAATTATGGGATATTGATATCTTGGTTGACATTTCGATTCATCATATATATTTATTTCAATGAGCCGTAATCTACTCCCAGAGGAAACATATGAAAAGCGTAGGTTTAATGTAGGATGTGTTTAATTTAGAGTAAGTGTATTATGAGCAAGTCATGAAGTAAGTGTGCACGATGTGGAACTGTCCTGCTTCCAACACGCCAAACTTACTGTTTTCCTCCATCTTTCCGCATGTCATATCTTCTTAACAAAGCTAACTTGTCTTTCAACTTATCCCATGTTTTAACATAATGTCCCAGTTATCCGACGCACCTGGAAAAATTGCCCTACTTAATGTCATTTTCTAGTTAAATGCATTCCTCTTTTTGATTCTTTCCTATGTTCAAGAAGACTGATCAAATCTGTTTTCTTTTTAGGGTATTCTTATCCAGGCTGAAATTTCCTACTAATATATACATAAATTAATATATTTTTGCTGATTAAATACAATCGATTCCCCGTTTAATTTGATTTTTCAGTGCAAGATGGCTATGAACTCAGTCTTTACACAAGCAGTTTTCTTGCTGTCATAACTAATATTAGAAAAAAGTTAGTCCCTGTGAGCTCATATAAGTCGACGATACACATTTTCAATATCATTATTTTACCACTCGAATTCTTGACCGCATTTCCACTTTTCTGTAGCATGTAGTAACTTTGGCACATACTGGTCTTTCTCCTCCCAACTAAGTAAATATCGGTGGAAAAACAAAAGCAGTTCAGATATGGGACTTATAGGAAAGTTCACAAATTACCTAAAAAGTCTGTGATTCACGAAGTCATTTTCAATCCATCCCGTTGGCTTTTTATAGATCATTCAGCCGACTTTTTATTTCGGTGATTACTGTTGAAATCTTTTGTCCTAATGGACACCACTGTAAAACAGGCTCTTTAGATTCATAATTTGATCCAGCATTTTCAAACATCCGTAGAGAGGTCATATGTGTACATGCTTATTGACAAATTCTCTTCATTAAACTTTACGTATAAGCTGTAATATTTAGGGAAGGGGCGTGATTTCCCTCTATTCCCGATAAGCAAAACTTACTATCAATCTCCTGTATAGCGTAGTTTTCTCTGAGACCAGTTAATTCACTGATATTACGGGCAGAGCTGGTTGATGGGTGCTAAATTAATCATTAGTATCCTTGTCATTCACAGCTTGACAAGATCTGATGCAGTTTTTGGAATATGTGAAGAGGCCGGTATATTCAGTCCCCACATAAGGAAGGTAGGCTGACAAATACTGTCAGATCTCCATAGTTCCAAAATGTCCTTAATAGTGTAATTTGTCCATACTTATTCCCTCTGAAATCAATTGTTTCCGCTAGGCACGTTCAAATTCATGTAGCAAGAGCAGTTTCCAGGAAAGATAAGTGAACCATTGTGCATTCTAAACGTCTTTGTTTTCTGGGCCTGTTGATCTTCCCGTTCAGTTAGACAATAAGCCACCACAGACCTAGAGACCCAAGACTGAGTAAAGCTAATTCTTCATAATTTTCATTACTACCAATAACTTCGATGGATTTAAAAGACATTTGGTTTTCATACATCAACTAATACTTCAGTTAATATATAAATACTGTTTAAAAATTAATGATGTGAATTACAAAAGTGAAGTCACATTTGGTTGGTGAAATTTTCATAGGCAATTTTTAAATAACATCTTTAGAAGCTTTTCGTTTTATTTTTTATAGCTAGCTTAATAATTCATTGTGGCTCAAGTTTCCAATGACGCTTCATGAAGGCCCGTTGCTAGTTGGTCGTGAGAGGGAGCAAAAGTTTCTACTTTCCCTTCTAAATAAAGTATGTGGGAATTGTAATTGTATATAGACATTGCTTTTTTCAGAGAAACCCCTTATCTACATGTCTTGTTATCAGTGGTCCTCCAGGTTGTGGGAAGTCGTCACTGATTTCTTCAACATTTAAAGTTCTTGAAGAATCTTGTGGGATGCTGTGGGTGCTAGTTAGTTGCTTAGAAAGTTTTGTGGGAACTCAAGGTGTATGTGGCTCCACACCATCAAGATATTTGCTTGAATTGATTTTGCAATCAATCAAATGCCGTTATCTGCCTACTAGTGATGTATGTGTCCGTTGTGATGATACTTCCAGTTTTGTGGATAATCTATGTCAAATCTTGCTAACTATTGCAGCCGAACGAAATAATGGCCCGAGTAAGTTTAAACAATTGGTAATTCATTATGTTCAGTATCTATCGGTTTGATTTTCGAGCAAGCCGAGAAGCTCTGTGATGGTGAGTCATTAGTACTCCCACTAATTGTCGGCCTTGGATCTATTGTGAATGAAAAGTTATGCTATACAAATAGCCTTGACACACCTGTATTATTTACTGTACTTGTGACCAGATTGCCATGGGAAAAATTCAATTTTGGGACATTTTATTTTGAGCCTTACGTCATCCCTATTGAGAGTTACTCACGTGAACAGCTAACAAGGTTACTTCTTTCTCTGTCACCGGCGGGCGCATCGGAATCTCGTTTCAGGCGATTTGTTGATCTATTGCTCACAGTTTGCTTCCCTGTTTGTCGCAATGCTGGAGAGCTTATTCACTTAATGAACGTAAGTACGTTTTATATTCACTCATCTTCTATGTTAGATAAATTGGCGTGCTTTTGATGAACCTGTAACTAAAGGTCTAGTCGCTCCAGATGATGAATGGGGTCAGTGGAAATTGGCTCAACCATTTCTAAAGAGATCTCTGGCAACTTTGTATTTGCGTCATTATGCTGATGCAAGTGTTGATTCAGTATCTCCGAAAAATGCAACGAGACAAGATTTTCTGGAATTACCATATATGACAAGATTTTTGCTTATAGCTGCGTTCATTGCTTCGTACAACCCCCGTTCATCTGATAAAAAACTATTGTCTAAGGTGAGTATTATCGTATGGAATGAATTGTTAAGAGGTATAAGCTCCTATCTAGTTTATTTTCTCTCTGAGACGGTGAAGCTTTGAAGTTGTTGGAAATAAAGCTGTCAGTGAACTTCTGGGTTTATATTGAGTACGAATTTTGGCGAGTTTTTGACGGCTTTACTACCAACAACTTCATTTCTCAGTTCACCTCCTCCTGAGTTCTCCTTGCTGAAGCAATAATACTAGCTATTGTCTGTTTATTCATCTAGAATTCTGAACGGTTGAGTGTGCGTAAGAAAAAGCAAGAAAAAGAAGCGCTTAAGGTAAGTGGTAATTACTTTTTATATCAACGTAGGAATTCTGTTTCGGGGGTTGTGTTATATTTTGTTTTTATTTCATGTTATACTTCTGATATATATATGTCAGAAGTGAACTCATAAATCATCAAACATTCTGTTTTCGAACTATTCAGCATTAATTTTGGTTATTTAAAGAAGTAAAGATAATGTAAGCGGTGGCATCGGTCTCATAAAGGTTGTTGAGTTCGCAATAAATGCATTTTGATTAGGGAAATTGTCTCAACTGATTAGTATAAGTAATATACTGATACCCCACTAGTAAACTGATAGACTATTTGAAAAGTGTACATTTATCAAAGATTGCTAAGTTTTATGAGAACTATAATTTATGGATTAGGAGTTCCTAGGACAAAAGACTTTGCTGTGCATTTCTATGTATCTCATATTACGTTAGCGTTTTGTATCTCAGTTAAGTGATAAATACTATTGAGTTCGCATCATCAAAGTGAGAAGTACTTTTACAGACTATGCGGGTGATTTTACAGGTTATTCAAGCTTAAAAACAAATGGGCAGTTAAGTACGTAAATCCAGTTACTCGTGCGATCGCCTGTGAAAATGTGACGGGCAGGATTTGTAGTCGTCCATTAAAAGAAGAAGAAGCACATATCAATCTGTTTTGCTTTTGATGCCACCGCTATGTTGGTTTGACTGTCAAAGTTCGCGCTTACTGCGTTTAAGTGATCCTAATTTTGTACATCTGTTTGCAGTGAAGCTTACAAGTTAATAAGTAACTTCATATTTTTTTAGTGCTATTCAGAAGAGTTTATTTCTTGAGTTGCATGTTTCACCTTTCCCTATGGTATTAAGTACAGTAAAATTAATCTTAAAATCTAACTTTAAATTTTTAGAATCAAACAGAGTTCGCCGGACCTCGAGTTTTTCCCTTAGACCGCTTGATGGCTATATTTTACGCGCTGGTACAAAATGAGTTTAAAAAAGTACCATGTACAAGTATTCTAATGAGTCAGATAGCCAGCTTGACAGCTTGTGGTCTTCTGTCACCGAGTTCACAGGCTCTGTCTGTTGGTAATTCATCTACTGTTGGACTAGGTACGGTCGGTGGTTCAATCAATTCTGCATCTGATCTGGACCCATTGGGTAATCCGAAATATCGTTGTTTAATCAGTTTGGAAATGGCCAAAGGTATAGCACAGTCAGTGGAATTTGATTTGTTAGCCCACCTTACAGAGAATTTTAACATTTGAGGTGCATTCATATATGATTATTCCGTGTGCCAGTTTCTTTGTACTCCTGCTTTTGTAAATACTTATAATTTCTAGATAATTTACTTTTTTACGTTTGATAATTATATAGTGCTATGAAGAGAATTGTGCTTTTGATTGACAAATCCTTGCGAAAATTTCAGGTTAAAAAATTTATCGGTCACAGTTTAAAAAAATAAGGGTTCTTTACTTGTCACCTAATCAAAATCTCAGTCGTTTTTTAGATATCGCAGCATCAATGTAAATAAGCGGAATACAGCAGTGATCAACTTTGGAAATTATTAATTATTAAGACCACATTTTAGTCAAGTAGGCTGATTTAAACACTAATTGCCCATCATGCTTGTTTCAAGTGAAAACCCCTTCAGGTTAAGTATACTCAAACCAACTTGGCGTCGCTGACAAGTGATTTTTATAGAATAACAGCTCAAATCTATTGGTAGCAATGCACTGTATTGCGTTGAAGCATATTCAAAGTGAGATTTTTTGGTATGGTAGGCAAACTGCATGTTGTCTTGAGTGAACTCATGTTCGTATGTGCTTAAATACAGTCTGTGGATATTAGAGACAGTATTTTTCTATGTGCACTGAAATCCACTACAGCCGTTAAATTTTGTCTGAATGTAATATTCTTTTAAAGGTAACAATAAAATTGGGGTACCACAATCTAATTATCACATACGATCCATGAAACTGTAAAATATCAGTCAAAATATATGTCTGTCAATGAAAATGGGTGTATTCTATTAGTAATCTCCATGAATAAAGTGAGTTCATGATCACTTTACGATATGTAGCGATTTATATTTTGCGATACATTACAAGAAATCAGAATGGGTGTGAAAATAAAAAGCCCGTGCTAACAGTATATTGATTGGGGACTAGTGAGTAATCGATATCATGTCGTCTAACCCTGAGTAGTGACTGAATTCTATTGGTATATTTTGCGATGTGGTTACGAAGCTGGATGACTCGTTGTTGTGATGCACTCGGAATTTGGCAGTCCATTACGGTTCTACGGGGAGAGTAACTGAGGCCTGAATGGCTTTGATTGTACTGGGCGAAAAATCGGATCAGCAATAGCATAACAATTTCTTCCTCATGATTACTGATGAGTGCCAGTAAAGAGAAAGCTTGGGGCTTCCTGCTGACTGTCTCTAAATATTTACCATTCCCAGCTCTATTAATGGTCTTCTTGGTTAAACTTCTCTAGGAAGTAATACTAAAGATGACATCGAAAGCCTTCACAACGAAATGCACAGCTACAAACTATCCGAGTATTCTTAGCCTGCAAGGCAAATGTTCATTATCATATCAGCACATTTGTTCATGTTAAGATAGTTTCGGATTGGTATTCAACAAGAGCTAATATCTCCTTCCAATTCTTAACGATTGTCTAAACTCGTAGGCTAGATATATCTATGACTTACCACCTAATGGATTTGAATGCACGTTATCTGCGAAGATTACAGCAGAGTTTTAGTTTTGTAAGAGAAAAAGAAATGAATATGCATGATTAATATCTTTTGGCAGTTTTATTTGAAAATTTTGCATGCCATATTCCATTTGATTTTGGATTCATTATGCATTTGTATTTTCTTTCATTTGGCAAAAAAATTTTCATGTATTTGTTTGAAGCATTGCATCCACTTCTTCGGCAGTTGATGAAAGGACGAATTCATACTGTTCCTAAAATTGGGGACATTAAACGAAAAGTTTCTCTAAATATTGCATTGTTTTATAAAGTGAGACTTTTCGTGGCATATAATACTTTTTAAAAATGTCAGTAAATAACTCGCGAAACAAAAGTGTAAGAAATAGTTGTTTTAAATTCACAGGATATCTGTGATGTGATCTGAAGGATGTTTGTTACAGTGTAATTCAGTAATGGACGAATAACATGAATACTGTAATTATTTAACGTGAATATTTGCTACCGATGAGATGAAACGCAATAATACAATAAAAATTTTCATGGACGTTTATGGATTCCGCCCCAAACTGTTAGATGAGAATTTCCCAATCTGGTCCATAATTTTTAAATATCTGTCTCAAATAAAACAATACATTTAGGCTTATTTTTAAGGGATTGACATCCAAGTAACAACCTTCCAGTAAAGCTATATCATGATTTGACTGATAGTGAAATCTCATAGATGTCTACTCACAGAACTCATAAGATTGGCTGTAAATTTTAGGCATGTACGATATTAGGTGGTTCTCCTGAATTAGTAGTAAGTTTTCGATTCTGTACACGGTCTCTGGAAAATTGACAATAACGGTGTAACACCAGATGATATTAAATCATATAACCTTATCAAAACATTGTCCATTCTTCTGTCTTGACTGATTATTTGTGTCTCTCTTTGAGGCAATAAGAACTTTAATGGCTGTATATCTTTTCGAGGTGCTCTTTTGATCTGTGTGTCAGCAAGTTCATATCAACTTGGAGATCAAAAAGTTCTGTTCACTGTTTTATTCTAGATCGCTTCTTTTATGAAGTTCATTTTTTTGTTGTCGCTTAGTACACAATGCAACGTTAGAGCATTCAATCCGAATGTTTTTCTAATGAGGGAAAAATAAATGCACATCAGACAAATTGCTTTCAAGGCTTATACCGAGAATTCAAGTAAGAACACTAAGAAAATAACATGAAATCAGTTCAATACTCAATCTTTCTAAAGCTTACCAATGTTCTAATCATATTTGGTCTTTGGTCTCTTAGATGTTCCAATGAAGCACCGATATCAATCTCCTTTATGCCCTTAACAATACGGTTTAATGCCAAGTCCAATAGAATATACGCTCCTGTTCGTCCACAACCATCACTAATACACAATGAAATAAAAAAATGACAATACGCCTTATGTGAAATATCGAGAAGCATAATTATATGTATAGTTCTTTCTCGTAATAGTATGCCTAATTATGCTGCCTGGTCTCTAATTGCTGCATGTCACGATGTAAGATGACGACAAGCGTGCGTGGTATAATAGAATTTTCAGTTAAATATTGAGAAATCACGGTATACATCGTAACTTAACTGAGTTATACAGGTTAAAAAAGCTTGTCGGTTAGAATTTGGGAAGAAGTGTATTTAAGTGTAGTCAAATCGCGCTTCGAACTCAACATAGTCGCACTTTCCTCTTATGTCTTAGGTATTTTCTCGTTTTACTAATATCATTCATTCCCTCCTATCCCTTCTGTCAATCGTTTGTGTACAGATATACTCTACTACGATCATCTAAAATCCTAGGTTGTACTAGCATTTGTTCAGAGTACAATCTGCAGACTGTTGCTCCACTTTATTTTAGCGTTATTTCTACATGAATAAGATTGTTTTGACAGAAGGCTTAATGAGTTTTCGGGAAGTATAAGTGCGATGTACTGATGGTTAAAATTGAAAAAGAAATGTGATTCGACGACTTCACGTTAGTGTTATGGCGCTCTATAAAATGACCTACGAGACTAAAATAGCTGGGGGGGGGGACTTTTCATCTCAATATAATGAGTGTTACTATATTTATTTATTCTGAGAAACATTAATACACCCTCTTAGGCAAAATTGCTACTTTCTATTGACGATATTATCAATAATAAAGTGAAATAAAATACCTTTCCACTTACCTACAATGAACCAAAATAGGGCTCATCATTCCGCGGAAGGATCGATTGACTTTTCTGAAATATGATAAACGCATAAATAAATGAGTCATGTTTTTTTTCAAAATGCAGTACTCTTTTAGGAAATCATGTAACGGAATGTAAATGTAGAGAAATATGTTCCGTGCGAATGCATCGAAATGTCTCACTCTCCTGTACTGTAATAATTAGTGATTTTGATGATTTCCGCAGACAGGTGGAAAATAGCATTGACTTCTTGGCAGAAAAACTTCAGGTGGCTGACTGAATGAGAGTTCGCAATTAGCTATTTCCAAAATACACATTCTGAGCAGAAAATTTATCACGGCTTTCTTTGGAAACCCAAAATACTCAGGTTGCAATATGTCATCTACCTGAAATTGTAAATGATATCAAGAAAACAAGCAGCACGGTGTATACCGATGATTCATTTGGGTATTTGGAGATCAACGATGTACTTGGACAGACTCAGCTCAGGGAACTTTTTTCCTTGTTTGCCATTTGTGGCATCTAGCGTTGTGTTTTAAATGTGTCTAGTTTCCGAAGGAAACCTTGTATTTTATACAGATGACGAACGTGATTCTGTATGTTATCATTTCGCCAAAGTCCTTAACTAAAATTAAAGTGATTGAGAATAACTCCGGCCTTTGGGCTGGGTTTACTTGGGTACATCACTGATAAACTCAGGTCCAAACAATTGAAACTAATATCCGGGTGTTTGGACAACTTCGGTCTGGCTACCAAGCACTGCTGTGGTTGATGTGTGTGGTCTAAAACTACTTTTGTCAGTCAGTAGCATGCTAGACGAACAGGAAACCTTGCTTCGCGCTTACTAACACGATATTTTATTCACCAGCTTATATGGTAATGCTAAGTAGTGATTAAGAATACTTATTGACTTCATTGGTCACCTTATAAAAACACAGAAGTAAAGTTCAATGTATTTCTTTCCTATTAGTGAAATCACGTATTAATAATTACTACTTGAAACTCTAGTGAATGATATTATCAATTCATACAAGTTTCCTAGGCCTTTTCTATAACGCATAATAGTACTGTCTACAAACCTACTACCGTCTTGGAAATTTGGAAACTAACATTCTCCTATATTAACATTGGATTCATGACTAAGAGAATCTGGCAATGGATTCGATTTCCTTTAATTTTCAATATTTGGAGTTGTGGATTGCTTAAACCCCATCATACCAGCCAGGTGTTGACAGGTCTCCACTAAGGCTCCATTCTATGATAATGACTTTTCAGTGAGTAGAAATTTTGTAAACAAGGAATACAGCTTTCTAATGTATACAACATATAATGTTGTGAAGATTTTTGCTTACCGACGGAACTCCAGTATGGGTTTACTATTGTCCTTTAAGCTTTCATCTTTCCATGTAAGGTAATGGAATTGTGTGACAGTACGTGTTTCATTTGTCGTCATACTTTTTAGGTAGAAGGAACGTATAATGTAGTTTTCACTCCAACTATGTTCAGAAACAAGATGAACCTATCAACAAAAGTGAACATATATATAATTATGTAAGTAAATAAATGCAAATACTATGGCATCCATATGCTACCCATAGGAGCAATAGCAAAGGAAGTAGAATTACCTGGATTTCATACTGATTAAAAAGTGTTTGAATATGACCTTATTGAAGTATCTCAGATGGCGGATTCATTCTCTGGGAAGAGTTATTGCTAAGAACTACCATGGTAGAGTAATTACGTTTAAATTGTATTCATTACTGTCCACCGTGAAATTCCGCAACTACTTTTATTAGAACAAGACGTATAAGCGAACAATATTGTTTTCAATTAGATCTAATTCACATAGCATTATGTATGAGAAATCTAACCAATGATGATGAGTTTGTGGATCAGATTATAAAAATTGGGTCCAATTTTTGCAGATTTCTTTCTTGCTAAGCGTGAAAAGGGTCCATTGAAACAAGTAATAGACAAAATGGATTCTTATTTTCGTTAAATGATGATACATTTATTATTCTTGATGAGAAAGCCTACGAGAACGAAATGTTGATAAAATTTAATGATGCACACCCATCGCTCATCTTCACTTGTGAATAACAACTTAATGGTAGATTACACTTTCTTGATGTCCAGTTGAACAGAAGAGAGGATGGTTCACTCAAGACAAATGTCTATAGAAAACCTGCGTCTGTAGGACAATATACACATTTCTGCAGTTTTGTACCAATCCGATACAAAATCAGTTTCGTCAGATGCCTCACGAATAGAACAAGAAGGATCTGTACAGATAATAAAGAGAAACCAACAACGGTTAAAAAGAAACAATTGTTCCTGAAACTGCAATTTAATGCAGACGTGGCTAGTGAAGTCCTACATCTAAGATTATCGAGAGCAATAGAATGGACTTATACTGCCGCCACCCTGAGTTTGTCATTTTCCAGCCAACCAATCATGATTGCTCAAGCGAAAGACAAGCCACCTACTGTCACTTCTATGTGTATTTACAAATCTAGCTGCTCCTGCGGAGAAAGCTTTATAGGGTGAACAACTAGACAGCTCAATAAACGTATCACTGAGCATCTCCCTTCATGGTTCGAAAAAGGGCAAGTAAAATCTATAAGAAGTTCTATTTTGTCTCATTTGATTGATAGCGGTCACTAAGTGGACAGAAATAGTGCCTTCAAAGTTATCTATCGCATTCCATCGAGCCTTTCGAACGGAACTCGAATCCACCTTTTACACATAGCCGAAGTTATGGGAATTCGAGAGAACAATCCTAGTCTTTGCATCCAAAAGAAGTTTGTTCTACCTTTGTCTCTCCCTTGGCCTAGGTAAATTCTTATTAAAACCCTCCTTCGTACTTTTATGATATTTATTTAAACTTTGATTGTCTGTCCACTTCACCTTTAGAATTAAGTAATTTTTAGATTTGACCTAATTTATTTATTGTGTTGTCTACATATACACATATTACTACCTTCGTTATTCTTATCGCCATCTGCATAAAGCTTATTATCATTATTTTTTATCATTATAATCATCGTTATTACTAACACATTATTATTATTATTACTATTTTATCATTATCATTATTTTTATAATCTGATCCACAAACTCACCAACATTGGTTAAATTTTTAATATATAATGCTATGTGAATTAGAGTAAAGCCTGAAGAAGATCTAATTGAAAACAATATTGTTCGCTTATGTGTCTTGTTCTAATTTTATAATGGGAATATTTAAAGATTTGAAAACTACTTATGTATTATAATCAGTAGGTAGTTAATTATATGCCAAAAAATCCTGAGTTTAGTGGTCTGTTGAAACTTAACTTTCAGTAATAGAACCGGCCAGACGAAATTACATACCTGTTCCATTGACATGCTTTGTATTATTGGGTTCAGTAATCGGTTGAAGAAAAGTAAATGGTCAATTTAAATAATGATGCGTATAAATAAGTGAAACAGAGGGATATCAATTGTTTATTTATATATAAATTATGTCTAAGCAGCTATAACTCCCGAAGGAAGGCTTAGTGATGGATGGCTATCGAAAACACTTAATCTTTGAAGTAGCTGTCAGTTATGCACTGGAAAAAGACGCAAAATTTTCATTCTTAAGGTCAAATGTATATGAAGTTTAGACATAATTTTATCGTATATTATGTCACATGAAATGCTTTTCTTAAACGGCGTATCACTGAGAATAACACGCCATATAGTAACCTTATATTAGGCAACACGCACTATTAGACTTCTTTGTGGCGATAAAGTTGAATATTTGAAGAATGTATATATGGCTGGATACCGGTCTCTTATGCGAATTCATCCGTCTCACCGCATCGGGCAGAAATTTCAGGATATTACAGATTCCATTCTTATTGAAGCATATGGTTGGAGTGTATTTCGGCAAGTACTTCGTCATTAAACGATAGATGAATGTAGTGTGCTATTGTGATTTCAATTTGAGAGGGTAGACTTCAAAAGATAAATTATTATTTATTAACTGTTTTCGCCCTTTTGTATCCTTTTTCCAGTCTGGGTCAGTGAAATATCTGTAGAATACCCATAGGGTATACATTTGGTGTTTTCTTTCATTGAATATTGAAGTTTCGGACGTTGCACCCCTAGTTCAACTTTGGTTTTCACCAATAGTATTTTGAACAATCAAATAACAGTTTAACGAGTTCTCAATGAATATCTGTAATGTATTCCCTAGCTCGAAGAATTCTGTTTGGCAGATGGATTGTTTTTTCTCAAATCTTGATTCATTTTATTCGTTATCATGAATAACATAGATTTCTCCACATTATCTCCGACTCCATCTACTTCAGTCTGGTCAGCGTGGTAGTATCATCAGCTCATAAGCTGGTACATGGAAAGTCTATCCCCGGTAAATGAGCTCTAAGAGATCACCTATCGCTATTGTTTGCTTTATTCGTTCATGTATACATAACAGTATCAAAAATATGGATTATAGAAATATGTAGTAAACATTTTCATAAATCAGTTGTACTTTTCACATGGTTATTCTTTCAGTAGGTCACCGGCGGAATGTAAACAGATCACCTTACGTTTTATCAATATTCTCACCCAGGGAAATGATCAGTAGCGAATTTGACGACGTAAGATTGTAACATTATTAATATTTTCCTAAATGTTGCATTTATGCGTACTAGAGAAAGGTTATTAGATACTAGGTATCTAAATCATGATAGAAGGAAGTAAATATCCTGGACTACTCACTACCATACGTTTAAGGAGTGGCGTTTTGATATTTGTATTTATCACAACTGATTCACAAAATTCAATCATCTTATAATCAAGGTGTGAGAAATATCCTTAAAACATTGTCATTACACATAACTACGAGTGATAAGGTGGGTGTATAGTTTAAAATGTACAGAAAACTTACTTCAAAGGAACCGTAAACTTGAGTACCTTCATTTGGCCAGTATTTGACGGAAGCATCGTTTGGTTCTAGCTGATTGACTTCATCCATTCTCTTCAGTTCATCATTACGTTCCAAGCAGACAATCACAACACATCCTTGTTCCCAGACCATTAACCAAAAGTCTGGAATTGATTCGATTGTTGGCGTCATGGTTGCAATGTAGACGGGATTTCTTGGATTGTTATCATACTTTTTAGGGAAGAAATAGTAGTAAATATTAGGATAATGCAAACTCTAATGTAAAGCATAATCAGTGAATAATACATCTTTACTGCACACATGTATTATTTCAAGTTAAAATTTGCCGGAAACATGGTTGTAAGTTCTGCCTAGTACTAGGTAGACCGGTATGGTGGCGAAAACCTTTCGAATGTTTTGATAAATTCTTTCCTGTCTTAAGTATTTTCCGTCATATTTTTCAACACCAGTCTAAGAGGTATCTTTAGCACTGACTGACGAAGACATCGTTGTGATGTGGTGCTGTCGAGGTTTGATAAATAAAAGTCGTGTGAAGCACAAGGCGTAAATGCTTTCTGGTCTGTGAATAGTTGGCCATATTGTAACAGCCAGACTTGGTAACAATACCTATAAAAGCTACAAATCATCAAAATGCCTTTTTCCAATATTTTTTTATTCCTTTACGTTCCCAGTGGAACATAGAGCTTCCAGGTAGAGGCTTGAAGTTTCGGTAGCAGTGGTGTTTATTTTTACGGGATAGGGTTGCTAGCCTCATGCCCAACCTTCCCTCTTTACCAGTCTCATTACTGGCTTAGCAAGGTAAGGGAGTGCGTCGGCCGGGGATCGAACCCCGGACTACATGCATGGTTGGCGAGCATTCTACCGCTGTGCCACCTATACAGCTGAAACCTTTCAGAGCGTGGTCCGACTCTTTAACTATGAATTCATCTTTATTGAAAGTATGGTAGCCTGATATTCATTGTTAACAATGGTTATGTTTTCAAGAAGGCATGGAGGAAAGGGGACAGTAAAAATTAGATCCGATGTTGATTTCTATATATCAACTGACTGTACGAATTAGTGATATGGTAATCTACTCAAACATTTATCATTCTTTGATCTACTTATTTATAATTCCAACTTTGATCTTATTGATAATAAAACATTGTTAGTATTTATCATCATGCAAGCTAATAATTATAATGAAGTGCTACTTACTAGCAAACTTGCATTGATGTAATCATTGTCTCCAGACCGAAGTTTAACGCGAGATTGTTCATCTAAAAAAGTTATATACAGAGAGAAGAAACCGCGTTACGTCTTGAAAGTATAAAATACTACTGAACAGTATTCAAGAAGGCTGTTGTTCTAGAATAGTCTTAAACTAATGAACTACCCCACATTCACTCATAGAATCGGGTAGGTATCGTCTACTGAGCCATCACTAGCATTTATAAGACATTTTGATTTCCACGGATATTTATTCAGAGATTATTTAATTTGTTTGAAAAGATTTTCATACTTCATTGAGTGGCAATCATCAGTGAATCAGTTTTTGCAATGATGTGTTTTTTTAAAAAAATTTGAGGAAAGTACCTGGATGGCTGACAACTAGTTGTGTATAACCTAATTAAATTTGCTTAACACCTGATATTTGTAGGGCGAATTCTTTACTCTTTTCATTGTATTTAGTTGGACTTGGTCTCAGCTTCATTGTGATCATTTTAACAGCATAACTTTCCATGAATATTTAATAAAGTTACATATAGTTTTCCAGTTCCATTTTCCACTTTTTTAATACTTAAACAAGATTTCTGATCATTTGATCAGTGTCACATTGAACTGAGGAGACATAATGTTAATCGATTAAACAGTTTATAGGCGCCATTTTAAATGTTAGCTCATCTAATAATCTGTTTCAACTTGGCAGAATTAAGTATTTTCTATGATAGACTACAAACTTGTCATTATCAGGTAAATAACTTACATGGTAATGGAGCCCCTAACCGATTTCTAAGCTTGTTTTTAGGGTTCTCTCCTTCTTTGAATAATACACTCTCTTCAGATACATATTTGTCTATGGAATTCCAGTCAGCTATCAATCGATCACGATCACGCAAATGTTCTTCCATATATGACTGAAAGAAAGAAAGAAAAGCGTGTGTTTAGTTTAAAAAGTTCTAAACACTAAAACATAACCCATTATTCCTATAGATATTAACACAACAGTGTAGTAGTTCAAGTTGACAGATGACATTTGTATAAAGAGTGGAAACAATACTACCAAAGTAATAGGATACTTCAAGGAAATAAAACAGCCTATAAAAGAAATAACTATTGTGTTACAATTGGAATATATCTGCTCCACTACGATCGGTTTCCATCGCTATCATCTAAGGTATTTAATAATAAACTTCATTGGCTACGTTAACCACAGACAGGAGACCTACGACGTTCAAACCGGTATCCACTGTCGTTATGGATTCATTCTTAATCTTAGTTTCTCCACTTTCTGGTTTATCCAAACTTAATCGTACTTCTGTCTAAAATAGACTTTGTCGTTGACTGTAAGTTACCCTACGTAAACCAGCCACTTCGGGTACTGGAAGTTTGTAGTTTTACTGACTTACTTGTTTGTACTGCCTAGCTAGGGTCCTAAGGCTCTATGCCTAATTTATTCATCATTTACGTGTTATTTTCACCAAACATGGGTAATAACACCAAGGTTATGTTGGTTGAATACTTGAAACCTATGAAGACCTTATACCTAAAGTGCTCATCCTTCCATACAGAGCATGGCAGTATACTAGATTTGTATCTGGAAATCTAATGTTATCTGTACAACAAGTGAATCGATTTAACGAAAACCGAATGAGTCTTTTTTATACATATTGAGATTTCATTAGTCATTAACTTAGCAGGGTTAATGTGCCCCCTTGGTAAATAAGATAACTGATGCGCTCCACCAGTTCACGCAAAGTACTCATAATGGATACTGAAAACGACCAGTCGTGAAGCAATATGTCAAATGTGAATGGTGAGAAAAAATTCCCCAGCATTTTCAAATGAACGCCATTTTTCCAGACGACTAAGTACCTTTTTGGTGCCCTCGTTCAACACTATTTAGTGTGAATACTTCATAACAGCCCACCATACGATGCGATTCAATCACGACCGTTTATATATAATACTTTGTGTAAGGAAATATGCTTAATATACACTGAAATTACACTTATTGATTTTCAGAAACAAATGTCATCTTTGGGCCAAGCGCCTGCATATATGTATAGTTTGCAGGATCTGACTAAGGTTAAACATCCAGTCGGCAAACTCAAGCAAAGGTTTGAAGCATGCCTAGTTTTATTGTTCTTAAACTCCAATTATTTTCTGTATGGTCACTGTGCAGAAATTACTCAGGGGAATTCCTGTTTCATTATTACAAATCAATTTAGCTTGAACACTGAAACAATCAGCGTTTGAGAACAGCAAAAGAGAATCAAGCGTGAATAAATAAATATCGTTGAGATCCTCTAAAATAGTCTGTTATCTTTTTATTTTTCATCTAATCTTCTATCCTACTTTAAACATTAAATGTTTTATTTTTCTAGCTATCGATTAGATGAAAATAGTACTTTTCAGTGAATTAAACTAATATTAAGTTATGTGATGTGGGTAAAACAATTGTTGGTGCTATTTGGGATAACCTTAGATTGCCAGACTGATATTATTGCGAACGGCTGATGTTTGAAGTTGAAATGAGAGCCGAAGTTTTGGCAGGACTGCAGTTAGTGGTATTTGGATTACTAGCCTGACACTTGACCAGCTAAGTTACTAGATCCAACTGCTTATCTGTTAAGTAGACAGTGTACTAGGAGAAAATGAAAAATGAATTTCCCACTGAGATAAGATAAAATTAATAAATATATACGAAAAATCATCTAAAGTTGTCTACTGTTGTTTGATAATGTATCTGCGCGATGATAACTATACATTTGCTCGCCCTGTACACATCTTGATGAGACGTGAAACCGCCTTCAGTATTTCACAACTTGCCACTAAGAAATGTGTCCTGGATGTATTTGTACGGCAATCTAATTTAGTAATAGTCTAAACCAATCAGTCAGGCGACCGTTAGCAATAAGACATACGACTACAGATTATTACAGCAGTAGCCATAATAGGAACGCAAGCATTTTCAAGGCGTATTCTGTCATAAATGTAATGTAATTAAAGAAAATAAGGTTTCGCTAGTGTATTTTATTTTTAGGCTATTAGTCTCAGTGTGGAAATTAAGTGAACTGGACATAGATAGTTCTACTAAATAAGCGGGAACACTGATAATATACATAGTTGCTGAATACTGTTCATGTTATCTTAGATTTCTTTGAAATGATGGAAATCAGAGACCAAAGAATGATCTACAAGTATCAGATAGTGTACATTCTAAAGATGCATCAAACTCTTCAAGTAAAGTGATAGATGAAATTATTAAGTATTGGTTTTGTAGGGATTTTGTTTGATTACATGGAGGATTTCATCATGAGCTGACATCAGTTAGAGAACCACTGGAAAATCTGGAGTACTGGACAGCTGTTTCGTTCTATTTTGCGACTCTTCATCAGCACGCATCCACCGGGGTTCGAAACCAGGACCTTCTGGTTACAAGGCGAGCTCGTAGACCGTTGAGCCACTGGGACCTGATCCAGTGGCCCATGAGTTCTAACTTCTGCCAATTCATGACATAGCGCGATCATTTCACAATGTCTTCTTCAATGAGTTACTACCTCATCTTCGACCTGCGTACCCTACTGGTCACGGCTTCCCAAACTAGGACGAAACAGCTGTCCAGTACTCCCAAGTTTTCTAGTGGTTCTCTAACTGATGTCAGCTCATGATGAGATAAAATTATCTTGATTAGCCCAATGGAATAAGAAAGTGACCAGTAAGATTATTCTGACCTCACATTGGCACGAACTATACTGAAGGTTTAGAAACCACTAACTATTCCTCTGGTGGCTTGAGACATAAATTTATACTCTGACCTGATTCACTTGAAAATATTTAAAGTTCAAGTTTGCTATCTTAAAGGTAGGGATAGGATTTAAGCAAATGAGATTTCAGAGGTTAGAAAACATAGTTCTGTAATTTAAGAATATGAGAGGTTACATGTACACATAGTGAAAGTTTAATCCCAGTCTAAAATTTTCAACAAATAACCTAATATGTATCGGTTATAAGCATATTTAGGAAAATTATTTACATCACATACAACGACTAGCATTTTGATATTGACTACAAACGTTCGGATTAACAATATTTATTCTCCGCTACGGTTCAGTATACTGTTCGTTTAGGATTCAACAACAAGGTAAGGCATTTGTATTCAACATTACGAAAAAGTGCACAGTAATTGTTCTTCGAAAGTGATGATTGTTAGTCAATCAAAGTACTGAAAAGAATCATTGTTAATTTATTGCTTAGAAATCACGCGTACAGATTAGATTATACAATATCTCAGTGCTAAAGTTGAAACACTTACGCTACTAAATAATAAACTTACCAAAATTAAATGCCCAGTTGGAACATCAATACTGCACTGGATTGGTTCATTCGACCTAAACATTTTAGAAAAACACCAGTAAAAAGTCAACTGACTACGAGAGAAAAATATGCTGAACTCATAAATAGCAAACTTCAATAAATTAATTTGTTAAATTTGGCAGTTCATTTAAGTAAATGTTCAATCTATGTCAAAAACTCTGAACAATAAATAATCCACAGCTTATATTCTCTGGTTCGCAACGGTCTGGTTTATAAAAAAAGTGGTTTGTCAGCGCTAGTGTACATGGAATATACATTAGAACATTTCTGACCCTTATGAGAGTAAAGAAATCTCAGTGTCTGGGATGATTAACACTTGGGTTTCATAGCTGATTCAGCTGAACGCTGAGTCGATGGTACAAGGATTTCTTGTTTGAATCATGTTTTACGTTGACTCAAGTTAGCAAGGAACCTGAAGACTGGTTTGTAATAGATCAGTATGTGAATTCGACCAATGATAAAGTGAGTCAGGCTTCACTTACTAAAATTTCATTACGAAGAGAAAGAAAAACCAGTACCCAAAGGAGAATACTTGTTGGAATAACTCGATACATACACATTCAGCTATTAACCATTTCGGTATTCAATTTGTTTTTCTTTTGGTCAGTTGTAATAATACAGCTATTTGTAAAACAGTATCCCTTCGTTAAAAATGCCAGTTTGTTTCCAACAACAAAATCAGTGGAAGAAATCTAAGACTGTGTTCACTGGCCTATCTGCCCTAAATAAATAAAGGCGTTAAATTGGTAGAATAAACAGAAAAATCGACTTGAAACCTAGCACTGACTCTGTAGGTTCAAACTACCATATCCAAAAGGATCACAGAAACAGATTATTAAAATAAGCAAGAAAGATATAACTGAGAAAAGATAGAATAAGAATGACTAACTAATTGGCGTGGAACTAGAAGACAAATTGTTTGAACTTGTATCTGTGCTCAAAAAGGCGGACATTTGTATCACAAAATCACTAGGTTTTGTAGTGGTTATCCGGGAGTTTCATGAATAATAAGTTGCATTGAATGGAGAAGGAAAACTATGCCTATAAATTTCCGGATTTTATTTGTTATTAGAGTAGCACGAAAGTTTCGATGAAAGCCATTCTAATTCTGTGTCAGGGGCGATAAACTAAAAATAATGCAAAACTAAAGGGTTACAGTTACTCCTCTTTCGCATGACGATATCCCTCTCCAACTATTCAAGAATATTAAGATAATACTCCGATACATAAGTGAAAACGTTTACTGTTCATATGAGTTAACTGTGTTGTGTTGCTGTACCTGGACTCATCTTAATCACTACTCAGCTGTGGAGTTTAAAACTTTCAACTAACTAATTACTTTGTGCATTTTATCAAACAAACATATAAACTTTTCGAAAACAAGTACAAATCTGTCAGAACAGGTCAGTTTATTTTATGCCGCATAAGGAGGTAGTGTATTATCTACCCAGTGATTTGCGAGTAAAACTTATTTTTCATAATTATGCTCATATAACCTCGTTTAGTTTACTAGACTATTTTAAGTCCGGATATAGATCCAGGGTTAGGTGTGGGGATAGAAATTCAACCCAATCTCAAAGAAGAAATAAGCTTATTCTCCTCTGGAATCGGGAAGTTGAAATGATGGGGGATGGTAAATGCCTTTAGGAAGCCAGTCAGTCAATGTGTCTTCTTTCAGTAAAAGTAAAAGAAAACATAGGGATATTGTTTCAACAAATCAAAGTGTATTCAATAACGAATAGGTACATGGAATTGTTTTATGTATTTTTTAAACGATATCTGTGTTGAGAGCTGTCTACTAGCCAAATTGGTAGACAGTAATTTACGTCAATATTTACGTTCCCAAGATTTGTCGTGAGAAAATGTGAACAAAGATTGATTCAAAACCGACCACAGCAGACTTTGCGTAGGCGGATGCAGTTAACATATAGAGGATTTGACATTAAAGAAACAGTCACAAATAGATGAAAGATTAACTTTACGTGAGAAACAACAATATTATAGTAATGAATGAAATAATAAATATGCGTTGATTTCCTTAATAAATGATCTGTTGCCTGACTCTTGCCTTCTGTCGTTACATATCTACTGCCACGGCATTTCTGTATACTGGGATTGACCAGGATTTCCCAACACTTAGTAATTAAACATCGATAAATGTTTTATCAACCGATCCATCCAAACTACGACAAACCTGAGTTAACCGAGGTAATTATTCCTTTTATATCATGATTTATAAAAGAGATTATTGGTTTTACGCACTTTCTTCCCAGTATAAATGAGCCTACAGTGAGAATAATACACTAAGTGGATTTATTGAGTTATGCGAAATATACTCAGGGCTATTTTCATACTTTTTATATCATCGACAAGGGTGATAACGACGCAAACGAGAGAAAATAGAAATAGCACCAGATCAAAACTAAGGAAAGTGAATAAGAAAATCTCTTCCCCAATCCACAGTGAAGTTTAATGTAGTTTTCGATAATCTATTATTCCCCCTTTTATTCATATCCCTACTTTTCGTTCTAAACTTTTACTTTCCAAAATTTTTTCACTCCTCCCCTTATCCCCTAGAAATTCCTAATAATCACGGGAAATATGACGTCAGTTATCCACACTACAATACTTCATTTTCCACTTCCCTTCTTTTTTCAGACGTCTTTTTTGTCATCCTACATTGCTTATCAAAGCATTGTTTTAGTTGAAAAGCTGTCGTAATCAACTCTTACAACTTCCTTTACTTTGTATCCTCTTCGCTACTAATCAATATTATCCTTTTTTCACTCCAGTTATAACATGCATCAACTATGCGTAGACTATGATTTTGAAATGGAAACCTGACAGGCACAAACACTTAATCAATTCACGCAATACAGCTTATGGAGTTTTGTCTACCCTTTATTATATATTAAGACAAATTAATCAAAATAAAATGTTGAAACAATAGGAAAGTATGTTTAGTGCGAAATTCTGACTGCATGCTTTCAAAATTTCTGAAAATTCAAATACATCATCTCAGTATACTGTTTAAATGGTTACAGTAGTGATTATGCTAGACGTATACTAGACATAATCGATAATCCCTAAGTTATGTAAGGTCCCTAACTTTGTAAGATAAATAATTTGGAAAGACAAATACTATTGCCATGACCAATTTGTAACAACACACAAACGTTTAACTTGCTACTGACATGAGAACACCACTTAGAAATTTCCATTTTCTACTGTTCACAGTTAGAGCAGTAATCAATAGCGACTGGTGGATTTTTACTAGTTCATGGGAAATCTGATCATTTCATGACTGATATGGAAACCTGTGAACACATTCTTTCAACATGTTGGAAATTCTGGTGATAATATTTTAATAATAATAATAATAATAGCGATAGCTTCTGCGTCGGTGGCACAGTGGTTAGGACTCTCGCCGACCATGCACATGGTCCGGGGTTCGATCCCCTGCCGGCGCACACCCGATATCTATGGTCGGCCTGAATTTGGGCTACCGATATCCATGCTGAAAATTCCATACTTGTACTGAAAATACGGTGTGGAATCAAGCTGTAAATCAAAATAAAATAAAATAACTTTACACAATATGAACAATTTTCAGAGTAGTTTATTGCATAATATTTTCTCTGCATCCAGGATTTTCAAGTAAAACAGCCATCTCCAGTACATCATGTGACTCAATGCTGTTTGATTTGAAAAATAAAATTTTCCTTTGGTCCCCCAGAAATGCGCAGCGGTGGATTGAAAGCCAATTAAAAATGTGCATGGATACATTCGACGACCGACACAGATAAAAACAAGAATTACAGAAAATCAGATGCATTGTGTCGGATGGAAATTCAGATAGCCCAGTGATTCAAGCAGGCTACCGTACTGGGAATCATCGACGCTGACAAAAATGGTAGCTGGGCACGTGCTTCGTGGCAGAAAATTGTCGAAATAAGTATGCATTGTGACCAATAAATTAATTGCAGCTATCCTGCAGTCCGACGTCATTTAATATTAAACCGTCAAAGCCAATTAGCTGGAAGACATATAACTCTAGGGCAATCATCATCAGCATAACACATCTACAAATTCAAGGAAACTTATATTCTCTCTAGGACTTGAAACTGGATGATTCAGTGTGGTCTAACGTTAGCAATACATCATAATTACTTAGACTAATGGCAAAGTATATTTCCATAGGTAATTAGGTAATACATATTTCTAACAGTGTAATTCATAATTTAAAACAGTCAATCATCTGAATTCCTTATACAATATAAAGATACATTATGATCATACAAAAGATTTTCCCTATCTTGTTTATGTATATATGTCACCAGATCCAAAAATAAAATAAAATTCTATAAAAGTTTGTTGGAAAATTAGGAACTTTTCAGTCACCTAAAGTTCTTTTAGGAGTACTTACTTACTGATTCAACATAAAGACGTCTGTATAGGCATATGATGCATCTTTTTCAATATTTTCAAGTGATTCAGATATATTTTCTTCTGTCGTCGTAACTGATTCCGAGGGAATAATTCCATTGTTGGATGATATGCGTCGTACAACCCACATAGAATCGGTAGACAATAAAAGTTCATTGCCTGCTGCTAGTTTGCCAAAGAACCGATTATTTTGTAATTCGTTAACCCTTGTTGTAGATGTATTATTCTCTAATTCCATGATTTAATCCAATTTTTAATTTGTATGACTAAATGTGTATACTTTTATTGACATATATGTTGATGAATAATCTTATTCCAACCAATTACAACCAATTATTTGATTCCAGCCTAAGAATCAATAGAATTAATCAATTTTTGTCCAGAAGTCTTAATTTTGATTGGTTAGTTTTTCTATCAACCGTTTGTTTATGTGAACTGAGCACACATATACTTAAACATTGGTCTCATCGAAAATCTATTGGTTAGTTCATGTTTCAACATATATTTTGACAGACACACACATTTGTCATTTAAACAACATGTGTGGTGTTTTCAAATACTGTATTTAATTACTCTATTATTCACATGGGTAAAACGAGTATTATTTTTAACTCATTTTCGTAAACAAAAAACTTATCATTGTGTGTAAATCATTGAAATATAATCATACTTTATTTGATCTGTTCCACAGTGCTCAAACTTTTTACTGACATTAATTCATTTTCGTAAGACCAGTACTTTTAAATATTAACCTTAAGATTAGTTGAAGTGACGAAAAGCAATTGAACGTGAAATGCGTGTATCTTTCCTTGAGACATGACAACTCTGTGCTTAAGATGAGCTTTTTAAGACGTAGAAGAAATCTCCTATACAGTCATTTTAGGTTTTAATTAGTGTCAAATATTGGTGACCTCTCCATCGGCATAGGAGTATAGGTATGTAATATATACCTAACTTATATTTAGCGAATGATCACTTCAACAGAATGATTATATTGTTTTTGTCATTAATAAAATCATCTGTGGATTAGGTGTTCATGAAATATTCCACAGATGAACAAAGCGATACGAAGATGCAATTTGTCTGAATCGTGTAATGTATTTGCACAACACATTTCGAACAATCAGATCACACAACGACCATCCGAAACAGAAAAGCATTTTAACTTCCCGGCATTTCAGAGCCTTGAAAAGGCTATGGGAAAACCCTAATATAACGATTGCGAAACCTGATAGAGGTTTCGGAGTCGTCATCATGATCAAAAGTGATAGTTTATCGGAAGATTTAATCGAAAATGGACCACTTTATAGAAGATATGTCGATGACATTGTAATCATAAGTGATAAGCCTTGTTCTGCCTCATCAATTTCAAACCGAATGAATGAAGTTCAGAGTAGCATATCACTTACGTCTGTGGAAGAGAAAGATAATTGTTTATCTTTCCTAGATATATTGCTACTTCGACGGCCTGATGGATCAATAAGAAGATCTATTTACAGAACACCTACCTGGACAGGACAGTATCTTAATTATCACAGTTTCTGCCCTGTTTGGTACAAAAAAGAGCCTTAGTGGGGTGCCTTTTCAGTAGAATCCAATGAATATGCACTGAAGACACACTTGATGATGAAGAACGAAAATCGACAGAAACTCTGGTTGATAATAATTATCCAGACAAGTTCATAAGGAGATATAATGTAGTCAGAACACCAAGATCCACTGTCCAACTCGCTGATAAGAAAGACGTCTATATCAAGCTACCTTATATGGGTGACCATAGCAGCTTGCTAACCCAACAAAGATTGAATGCTGCAGTTAAAAAGACTTTTCATGCAGTTGAGATCAGAATAATTGAGAATTTCAAGCCCATATATCCATCTAAGCCCTTAGAACATGGGAAAAATGATGTCACATCCCACTGTATTTACCAAATTAAATTTACGTGTGGACACATATACATATGGTGGACTCATCGATCTATGCAAGTAAGGGCTTCAGAGCATATTCCTAAATGGCTTCAGAAGCAAATAGAATCTCCAGAACCCATTAGTGGTGAGATTAGACGACCTAGCTCATCTATTGCAAAATATATTATACAGACCGGCAATAAAATTGATTTTTACGCGTCGTTTAAAGCTATCTATAAGACGTGTTTGGGGCGTATTCTAAAGTTTGTGGAAGCCCTAGCAATTAGGAAGTTTAAACCACCTTTTTGCATTCAAAAGCAATTCGTAATCACACTAAACCTCCCTTGGTAAACTTTGTTTTGATACAATATCAGATGTACTATTACCTGTGTTATTTGGTCCAGTCATCTTCATTGTTATTTTGACCTTCAATATGTCCTTTTAACTTGACCTAAATTTATTTTTCTCACCTCTTATTATTATTATTATTGTTCCCTTGGGTTCCTAGTGGAACATAGGGCTTCAACTGCACGTCTCCACTTGCTTCTGTCTTCTGCTGTTCTTTTCACTTGCGTCCATGTTATTCCATACTGTTTCATCTCCTCCTCACACGATCTCCTCCATGTCACCCTTGGACGTCCCACTCGCCGCTTCCCTTTCGGGTTCCACTCGAGGGCTTGACGCGCGATGTCACTCAACGGCCTCCTCAGCGAGTGTCCAATCCATCTCCACTTCCTCCTGCATATTTGTTGGGCGATTGGTTCCTGTTTCGTTTGTTCTCATAGCTTCTTGTTTGTGATTCTTTCTGGCCATCTAATCTTCAGTATGGAGCGAAGACAGTTGTTGATAAAGGTCTGCAACCTGTTGAAAATATTCTTGGTGACCCGCCAAGTTTCTGATCCGTAAAGCAAAATTGACTTGACGTTTGTATTGAAAATCCGAATTTTGTTGTTGATGGTGAGTGACGAAGATTTCCAAATTGGTTTCAGGTTGATGAATGTGTTTCTCGCCTTCCCGATTCTCGATTTGACATCCTCGTCCGTTCCTCCTGTGGTTGAGACAGTGCTCCCCAGATAAGTGAAAGAAGTAACCTCTTTCAAATCCCTCCCGTTGATGGTGATTGGCACTGGATGTTGCTGCTGTTGTTGGTTGGTTATTTTCATAACCTCCGTCTTGTCTATGTTCACCTGGAGTCCTGTCTTTGCTGCTTCTTCGACCAGTTTGTCGGTTTTCGCTTGTAAGTCTTCGATTTTGTGTGACATCAAACATAAATCATCCACGCGCGAAATCCAGGTCTTCTAGGTTCTTCGCGTCGGTCCAAGATATCCCTGTCTTCTCGTTTCCCACTGTCTGACGCATAATCCAGTCCACCACAATTAGGAATATCATTGGTGATAATAAGCACCCTTGTCTGACTCCTGTGTTTACTCCAAACGCTTCGCTGAGTTTTCCGTTGTGGATCACTTGACATGTGCCGTTGTCGTACAGTTGTTGAATTAAGTTGATGAATATTTGCGGTACGCCGTAGTACTCGAGTAGTTTCCAAATTACTTCGCGGTCAACGCTGTCGAAGGCCTTCTCAAAGTCTATGAACCTCGCCTAGATTACTAGGTCACTAGTATTCTAGCCGGTCCCAAGCCCGGATGAAGAGGGAGGGTTGGGGCGTGGTGCTAGCAACTCCACCCCCAAAACTTAACCAAATTGCTACTAAAACTTCAACGCACAAATATATTCAAAATTCTCACCTCTTAACTCTTTATTAATTTCATATATATTCCTATGACAAGTCCCTGTGTGATCAGATTGTTCGAAATGTGTTGACGCGCAAATACATTACACGATTCAGACAAATTACGTCTTCTTATTGCTTTGTGCAAATTCATAAAGGGAACTAACTGTTTCAAATTCAGTAGATGTTCAGTTAAAATTGAATACTCACCAAGAAGAAACACTACTATGCTGTGATTCAGACAGTTTATTGCTCTGACCAAATGATTTCTTCGATGAATGAATTGATTCCTCAGAATGTGGAGATGATAAATTTTCATTTGATTCACTTTTAATTTTATTCTGGAATAAGTTTTGTTTTTCATTAAAAAAAAGAATAAAAACAAACATATTTTGAATAGTGTATCATGTTATTTAAACACTGTATCGATTTACAGAACAGTTTAGCACTGGAAATGTTAGAATAAAAGCCATTAGATAGTTCTTGGTGTTACCACTCCTCTGCACAAAAGCATCTCAGTCAACTTCATCTTAGATATTAGTTAGTGTAAATCAGCCTATCAGCATCACAAATCCTGAAAGGAGGAACTAGATATGGCATCAGAGTTCAGATTAGTGAGCACTGTCAGGCCTTTGAAAAGTCAGCAGCTGCATATACATAGTTTATGAATGGATTATTTGTGAATTTATGCTTTCCTAACAATTCCAGGGATTACATATTATTATCATCATCATCATCGTGAAATTGATTTACTAGACTGATAAATCACTGAGCAGATTTTTGATAAAGGGATAAATAACTTCGTGTGATCAATTTGTAATAGCAGAGGACAACAATAGACTCGGTAACGGAAGTGTTTTCGGAATTTGGTATCTCTACATGGCGAAATTATGTACACCTTATTTCCAAATCGTCATTTGCGCAGACCTTCCGTATTGCACTACTTCTGCCCTTCGTAGTGTGTTTCTTTGTCTTCTTTCGCGTCTTCCATGTTTTGCTGCAATGCTGAATCATTTGCTCTCTTTAACGTCAAAAACTGACTATTGTTCCATCCCATCTTATACTTGTTCCACAATACACTTTCTGATATGATTCTAATTTGCCTTTACTGGCTATTGTATGCTTAAATTAATGGATTTATAATTGTAGAGACTGAAGAAGAATTTATTGAAAACAATTGTTCGCTCTAACTATTTTGTTCTGAATAAATTATGGGAATATTCAATTTACCCGAATCTATCTCTCTGCTGTTTTATATTTTTTGCCTCTGAAAGTCTCTTTATAAGCGACTAATAAATCCTATCAGTAGCACAGTCCACAAATTCATGAATAAAATCAACCACTTGATCTTGAAATATGTTAATTTATCATCGATTTTATGTTTCTTAAATAAGTTGTTATACATAGAAACTTCCCTAACTATATAATGTTATATATATACGCTTTGGGTTTGGAAACAACAGTTTCTTAAACAAATGTCGAACAGTCACGAATTTCTTGTTAATCGAAAGTTTCAAAGAATCTATGAAATAAGGAGTGGAGAGTATGAAATGTTTGTCGCTCTCTAGGGTAGGCAATATGAATGACATTTCAGAACTCCTATTGGTTAGTAGTATTTGCTTGGTGAACATTTGGAAGTCATCAACACTGTTGTAGAGATGTTGAAAAAAAATCTATGTAATGGATAATGATGATTGAAAATGAAATGAAATCCCGTAGGATTCAGCAGTCTACCAGCTCAGCTGAATGCTACATCCCATTCAGTTAATGTATCTGAGACTGAATCCCGATTACAACGAAATGAAAAAAAACGTTCTGCATGGTCACCAAGTGTGGTGTAAGCTCAGAAGACTAGGAAGTGAATACAATTACCATCTGGTCAGTGCCTAATGTTCTATTATTGTTAATTAGAGAACATAGTTTAAGCAAGTATACATTTTTGGTGATTTCTTTCCAAGCTTTGCAATTGTATATTGAAATTATTCAAATGCCTATGCTGAATTAAAGTGCGTCAGTGGTAATAATGTTCGCCAGGTCCGAGTTCGACTCCCAGCCGAAGAACTCATAAACCTCACCTAGTTTTACTAGCTGATAGTAAGCCTGGAGAACAGGAAAGTCTTGACGTGAGGCTAGCAATGGGACTTCGTTGATACAACACCACCGCTACTCAAATTTCAAAGCTTTAAGCCTTATGTTCCATTTAGAACGCAAGGATTGAAAACACAATCCTGAATAATTTTTTTGTGTAATTATAAGAACTTTTTTCGAAATTATCGAAAATATATATTATATATATGATTACACTTTATTCCCTAACTTTCATGACGATAACTCTTATTGTATGATCTAGAAAAGATTTTTATGAATAAAACAGCTTTTTTTCTTTTCACCTAAGGTATACTTTTGCTCATAATTTTCAATCAAGTTTATTGAAATTAAAGTATTTACCCTTCTTCTTCTTTGGCAAACTTGAACTAAATAAATCAGTGTGAGTATAACGACTACACCAAGTATTGACGAGCAGAGAATTATTGTCATTGTATACTTTTCCCATTTCTCTCGAATACTGTAGTCTGAGGTGCCATCATACACGGGTGCAGCAGCAACAGCATCAAATCTAGCGCTTTTATCAACTGTAGCCTTTTATAAAACAATGAGAATAAATGAACCAAAAATTATAAAAAACACAGTGTGATTAGCAGTTGATAGCATAAGAATTATATGTAAGGTAATAACCATAATACTAATCAAAATGTGAGTGACATCTAAGAGTTGGATTTCAATTTTGTTATCAACAAAGGCAAATTATCATCCATATCAATTTGTTATCTAGATATATCACATCAGAGAAATAATGTTATTTACTAATTCTAAATTCCATTGTGGGTAAAATTTATTTTGAGAAAAAGTCTCACAGTGTTATACAGTGATATTTACTGATGACGTTTCGAGCACAATTTATTGCTCACAATCATATCATGTGCACAAGTTCTATTCTTATACTAATGCTAAACTTCTGAACATGGAAGATTAGTACACAGTTTTGATCCCTATTAATTATCTTATTTGTGTTGTTCATAATTCAGATGATTCTTAATAATAAATTCTATCCGAAACATCATCCAGCAAATAATCTTTAGAAAACAGAAAGATTGAGCGAAGAAATATTTACTTTTCAATTAGATCCTCATCTCACTCTGGCTCTACTCTAATATACATAGCATTTTTATTACAATACACAACAGTTTACCAAACAAGTGGCGATATGTTTGTTAACAATAATTAGTCAGTGTCAAATGTCAATGGGTTGATAATTAACGAAGAAAATCAATACACATTTAAAAGGTAGAAATGGTTAGAATAAATTAATTTTAGAAGGATAACACGTAATTAAAGATGAAGTGGTCAGAAAGTGGTTATCTACCAGTTTGACTGCAGCTGCGGAGCCAGCTACATTGGGCGTACAATTAGGCAGGTTCATCATCGTATTTCCGAACATCATCCAACATGATTAAGCAAGGGACAAACAAGATCTATTCGTAGCTCTATTTTAGCACACCTTGTAGATACTGAGCATAAGGTTGATGTTAATACAGCATTTAAAATTATCTATCGCATTCCTACTAATCTTAATTTTGCTCTACGAGTTCGTCTTCTACAAACAGCTGAAGCAATAGGAATCCACCTGAAGAAGCCAAACCTGTGTGTTCAGAAGAAATTTGTGCAGCCACTTTCCTTGCCTTGGCCATCGTTACATGAAGTGTAAACCGGACTACTTCGCCCACCTCCCCCTAAACCTTTAAAATTATAAAAATTATAATTGTCTAAATTATTTTTTCTGACCACTTCATCTTTAATTACGTGTTATCCTTCTAAAATTAATTTATTCTAACCATTTCTACCTTTTAAATGTGTATTGATTTTCTTCGTTAATTATCAACCCATTGACATTTGACACTGACTAATTATTGTTAACAAACATGTCACCACTTGTTTGGTAAACTGTTGTGTATTGTAATAAAAATGCTATGTATATTAGAGTAGAGCCAGAGATGAGGATCTAATTGAAAAGTAAATATTTCTTCGCTCAATCTTTCTGTTTTCTAAATGTCTAAATGGGTTTTTTCTATATTGAAATAATCTTTAATCACTGTATGCTATATGTTATGAAATTACACACTACTATAGTGTCCATGTTTTATATTTATGATACGTTCTCTTCCTTTGATTAACACAAGCAGTTATTAATAAGCCAATACAGCAACTTTTCACACAATTATTGTGTCATAAAAATACTGTTTTTAAAGCTGATGACAGTAGTGACACCATATCTACTCAAACGCTTCTTATATCAGGACATTAAAAATATGCAACAATAGCGATAAAATCACCTTCAGATGCTTCTAGACAGCGTCTTCTTCTTACCTTTCTACGCCTTTATATCAATGTGTGTAAAACACTTCTGAGTTAGCATGCATTTCTTTCAAATACGCGTCTTTTAGAATATTCACCATATAGGGCAATATAAATGCATACATACACTTTCAAAGATGTGACTGTTTATAACTAAGACGGTAGTAAGTGCAGAACAATTCCAAAATCAGGCTAGGAGAAATGAATTGGTGAAAGATTTTCTGTCATAGACTCGATACACAGTCCTACAGGAGGTCAGTCGCGAGCCCAAATAGCAGAGTAGTAACGTCTCTGACTGCAGCACTGGGAGAATATGAGTGTCTTTAAGATTGCAGATACGCCTTTCTGACTCGTGAGTGCCAGCAAACACGAAACCTAGGTCTCCTTCTGATTGCCTCCAACCATCTAATAACAACAATTCAGAGTGCACTGGTAGCCACATTGAAAAATTAACTGACAGAATTCAGTCAGTACCAAACAAAGGACTAGACTCATGATACAAGTTACTAACTAGTGTCCAATCAAAGTGCTCAGTAGACTCTATTAACTTTTGCCATCTTATCCGACGTATGTAGTCCAGTATAATAGCTTCAGTTCATTTTGCACTAATACGTACGCTGAGCATTACACTTACAACAGTGTTGTACGACCCAATGTAGTGACTACTATGCACACCTTAGACATACTTTTTAGTCAAAATGTATAAACAAATGGCTTTATTTGTCATCACATGTGATGGGGATTCCTATTAACTTTGGGCAGTGAGTGTTTATGGCGTTAAGAAAAGCTGGAACTCCCTCACCACTGCATTCTGAATGGTGTAGTACTCTCCTATATGGTTTGACTACCTATAGAGTCTAACAATCGTAGAAAACACGTGTATAATATTTTTGTTATTGTGAAATCGGCTTAGGAACCAAATGAGATTCTCATAAACCGATAATCTAGTACTAAAAGCAGTACTTAAAATGTCTAGCGTCGAACTATTGTCTACATGTGGAACACAAATTTTATTTAAAGTATTCACTTAATAGAAAAAAAGTCTCCTTTTGCAAATGAAAGTTATTAGGCAAATTTGCAATCATCAGAATTTTGTCAGTTTGTCTCTAGATAAACTGCAAATGCATGACTACACCTCCTTGTTGTTATCACTATTGTAGATTGTTACTCACCAGTTGTGGGCAACACCTAAAATTCGTCATTTTTATTAAATATGTAATTACATGGTAAGTCAAGTTTGACTAAAGTTGTGTGATCAAAAAATGAAATACTAGAATAATGGATGATTCTCTCCAAAAATGTTTGAATGACTTTTCAATTCCAACTAGACTAATTCACAGAACATTCTGTAATGTGTAGTGATAATGAGAACTTATTCAGGAGAATGATTCAACCATAGTCCAAATAATTCAGTATTTACTTTTCCAATGTGGTAACAAAGTGTTCTTGTCTTCAAAAAGACTACAACTTATGCTGAACTTATTCTTCGTGCATCTTTGGCTTAGTTAGCGGTAGAATGCTCGCCAACCATTCATGTAGTCCGGGGTTCGATCCCCGGTTGACGTACTCCTTTAACTCGCAAAGCCGGTAACGAAAGATGGTTGGTCATGAGGCTAGCAACCCTATCCCGTAAAAACAATAAAGCACCACTGCTATCGAAACCTCGAAGCTCTAGCTTGAAGCCCCATGTTCCACTGGGAACGTAAAGGAATAAAGCAAAATAAAGGACTTGTTCTGTAATATTATACGTCCATTTATGGTTGATAAATTCCAATAGCCGTGTTTATAACTGGTAAATTGTAGTGAAAACGTCTTCGTGTAGCTGTTAGAGAAGTTTTGTGTTATGTTTTAACCGGACATGAACTAGGAAACAATTGTACATTCAGAAGGATAGAAACTTACTCCACGACCGAATCCGACATCTTCAATTGTATAACCATCAATGGAATGAATTTTAGTAACTGTAAAGGAAAATTTACGTGAATATATATATATATACCACTGAATAATCACCTGCTTAATCAATTCAAACAGTTCAAAATTAAAAACAAGTGTTTATCACCAATGGAATTTGGATAATTCTCAAAAACCCTCTCCACCTGTGTTACAGAAAAATTACTATACGCAATTCATTCATTATTCTTACATATATTTATTGATCTGCATCTAAATAATTCTGTATTTATCGATTTGAAGGAATTACTAATGATAATAAATTTGTTTTGCATTTCATGAATGACAATATAAATAAAATTGAGTACAACTTTTGTTTATATGTTAAACCTACAGAAATAACTTGTTTATCAATGGAAAAATTGGGAATATACCAACCAGATATGTAATGAATCAAAAATTAATTCACTCAAGAGAAGTTTACTAGCCTTTATTATCATTTAAGCCAATTTCACAGCTTGTTTGTTCTGCAGTCTATCATCATTTATGGCCAGACATCTATGTAGTACAGCGTCTGGTTTCTGAATCCTCAAAAGTCAGCATTTCTTATCACTGTTGAGTGAAGTGGACGAGTGTCTTAGGACTTGTGAGTAATGGATGTTTTCCTTGAACTCCTAAGGTACCAAGAACTTAAAAGGGGTTTGTGAACGGAAAATGTGTCTCGAAACAGCTATCTGGAGAAATACTTCGTCCTGGAGGTTATCTTTTCTAAGTAACTTTCGACTGAAATCAAACATCCTCAATAATTGAAATCTTATTGCCTGATTCTGTTTTGCAGAATCAAAATAATTCAAAAAAACCAATTTTTCGACAGTTTAGAGAGTGATATCATTATAGTAGTTTGTGGGATTAGCAGAGTTGAGATTGTTTAACTGTTTTGAGTTATTTTAATCCCGTACAAGATCAGTAATTTTTCATCCTTCTTTTTATCATCAGTTGATAAGTAATGTCTTCTGTACTAAACATTTTATCCCTTAGACTCATTTACTGATGTAATACTCCCTACTAGTGAGGCTCACTTAACTATTTTTAGTAATCACAAATATCATCAATATCTGTTATTCTCCATACATATTTACATGAGCAAAAATTAGTGCATTTACACACAGAATAATACATGTTCTATTGACTTACTTAAAGCATTCACAATACGATCAGCAGTTATACCAGCATTTGATGGAATGTGGAAGTATAGAACACGTCTTGATTTGTCAAGACTACATGTGAAAAGAGAGAAAAGAAAACATCGAAGAGCAATTAATTGTGTTCGAAACGTCATCCAGTAAATAAAACGGTTTCACTGCACCTTATTTTATTTATTTCAAGGCTCCACTTATCAAATAGCTGTTTATAGATCATTTCAGCATTCACAGGTAACTGTTTAATAACTATACGTAACACTGTTCATCCAACTAATAATTCACTTTTTATATCTACAATTAACCCTGGTTTTCATTATTTAAACGTTTAAACGCTGGAATCTTGAGTAAATTTAATAATTTCCAGTTAGGACATTCCAGCAACTGTCTTTAACTTCATCAGATGTGTTACTGGAATCATTCAACTTCGACTTTTACAGTTGGTTAACTCTTGCATCTTACCTACTGCGCTTTAACGCTCCCCTTTAGTCTTTCCTTGGCTACTTAAAAAGGACTATGTCATATTGTGCAGGGTATTAAAGGTTATCAGTAGGGCAAGTGGTTTGCCGCTTAGTCAGCTCGTTACTACTGTAGTTGATAGACACCTGAACTCATGTGAGAAATGGTCTAAATCTATATTGTCGGACTCTCAACACCCTCTCTATTCTCAACTTTCCCTTTGCTGTATCTCATCAGGTAGGACTAGAAGTCATTATAAAAGATTATATGCTCATAAAACCAAGTATAGAAATTCAACGATTCCCTGTATGGCCTGCGTCCTATGTGATAGAGATAATGTTAAGTGCGAAACCTACGGCCTACTATGTTATTAGCAAAATTAATCGGCTCTTTTATCCTCTCCTATTTGTAATCTATGGTGACACTATTTCAACTAAATTATAATTTTAGCTATCAACATTATTATTATTTTACATAATTTTGACTTTATCGTCACTAAAAATACCAAAAAAGCTGCTATTATCAATCCTACAGTATTAGTCTTCATTTTTTATTTTGCTGTTGTCGAGTAAATTAGATGCCATATTGTACCTAATACTAAGAATCCTACACTGTATCATGAGAACTGCTTCGGAACAGGGCAAATTATTATTACTGATTAGAAATGACATGTATTGCAAGTAAAAATAAAAGATTATAAAAATCTGTTTCCTATGTTGAAATTTTGTCTAGTTGAGTAGTTTTACAACTATTCAGCTGTGTAATAATCAATGTTTCTGTTGGAAACCCATCAACACTATAATGTAAGTTTATTGAAATTACGGTGTGGTCGTTGATAAACCTACTCACCAGTTGAATAAGTGAAACATACTTTTCAAATTATTCATGCGTATAAATTTGTTTGCATAAAATAGGTAATCAGTTATTTTCCTGATATTCACAGGATAAAATTTGATCGGAATTTGAAGCACCTCTTTAGAATTACGAATAACGATAAACGGCAGATAGAAGTAAACCATTGGGAAGAAGATGGTTGCAATGATCACTAGAAGATGAATATTGCGATGAGTTTTTTTATCGACATAAAGGAACACTTCAACCAAGGTAGCAATGGGTCCCATAGAATCTTACAGGAGCTGCAGAAGAACAACTAGAATGTAAACAACAGTGCACCTAGTTAGCGATTTTTCAAAGAACTAAAGTAAATTTCCAAATGAGCAGAGGATGAGATCGATGACGTTAAAAGAGGGTATATTTTCAGATAAACCGAAAACGGGCACGCTACATATAATCGGTCTTCTTACAACTACAGACTAGCTAGATAGTAGTTGACTATCTATCTATTAGTCAAGCAGCAACCTGTTAGATCAGGATGAGTCAGTTTTTGCTACGTGACTTGTAAACCAGACATTCGACCCTAATGAGGATTAAGAGTCAATTCATCAGTGCAATTTTGTTCGTACATGCTATCTATCGATCAGTCTGTCTAGACAAATTCCTTCTTCAAAATAATCTACAAATTGAACAGCAATCTGCTAAAGGCAATACCTTTTTGTATTGCTGAAGCTCTAACTATTCAGATAGAGAAACCGGAGCTCTGCATACAAAGGAGAAGTATTAAACCGTTTTCTACTATCATGGTAATGGTGTTGCTGTTTTTCACTTAATCGAGGTTTTTGTTATTTTTTAACTCTTTATAACTCTTCTATTTCTTTTTAACTGTTACGTCATATAACCTTTTCCCATGTTTCTGTGTCCATACTGATTGCAACTCATGCATTAAACTATTTTTCTCATTACGCAACTCAACTATATTTACGGAACTCTTTTTTATGTATTAATTATACTTAAGAACTATAATTATGACAACCCATCAATTTTTTTACTATCCTGTTTTGGCGAAAATTGTATACATGAATGTGATTGTATAGGTAAGGAAAATGAATTCACCGAAAAGAGCCTCTTCCCTGAACAACTTGTTCTGCTTTTCCATTATTTCATGCTAACCAGTCAAAGCGTAGTTTTAATATCTTCAACCAGTAATTTGTTGATTAAGTAAAATAACCACATAAATGGTTATAATTTCTAGTGGTATTTTGCATATGACTCTGAATTCGTGATATGATAATGTAAGAAAGGTCACGCCATTCTAAAAGATTTCGCTTACATCTTCGTTACTCAGCCAAATCTCTAAGAATTCGTAGGGAAAAGCTGAAACTTTGTGTTCAATCCAACCTCTTATAATACAATGGATTAAGTGTCAATTTATTTTCCTGAGTTATTACATAATAAATTCAATATAGTCTTTTTATTTTTTGTGAGTTGAAGTTTCTCTAGAAGTTTGTTAGCTTTCGTGGTGTACGGTCACTAGCCCCACGCCCAACCCACCCTCTTTACCCGGGCTTGGGACCGGCTAGAAAACTAGCAAGCTAGTTAACTAGGTGAGGAATACGTTAGACCACCGATAGCAAGACTCTAGAAGATCTGGATTTCGCAGATGACATATGTCTAATGTCACACAAACTCGAAGACTTACAGGCGAAAATCAACAAACTGACTGAAGAAGCTGAGAAGCCAGGACTGCAGGTGAACATCGAGAAGACAGAAGTAATGAAGACAACTAACGCAGCAACAGCAACAACAACCAGCACCAATCACCATCAGCGGGAGGGATTTGACAGAGGTTACCTCCTTCACTTATCTGGGAAGCATCGTTTCAACTACAGGCGGAACAGATGAAGATGTCAAAGTCAGAATCGGAAAGGCGAGATATGCCTTCATCAACCTGAAACCAATTTGGAAATCTTCTGCACTCACAGCATAAGGAACAACATTCACATTTTCAACACCAATGACAAGTCGGTCCTTCTGTACGGATGGGAAACTTGGTGCATCACAAAAATGATTTCCAACAGGTTGCAGACTTTCATCAACAGCTGCTTTCGCTAGCTCCATACTGAAGATCAAAGGCCAGCTGGCCAGCTACAAGAAACTGTGGCGATAAATAAACCAACCAAGAGCCGATTGCTCAACAAATATGAGGGAGAAAATGGAGATGGGTCGAGCATACATTGAGGAGGCCATCGAATGACATAGCGCGCAATGCAGTCCATCGCTTGAGTGGAATCCAAATGAGAAGCGACAAGTGAGTCGTTCTGGGGTGACATGGGGGAGATCGTGTGAGAAAGAGATGAGAGAGTTTGGGCAATCGTGGACCCAGATGAAGAGGATGGCAGAAAATAGAACAAAGTGGCGGTGCGTTTTCGAAGCCCTATGTTCCACTCGGAACGCAAGGGAATAATAATAATAATAATAGTCTTTTTATGTTTTGTTTTGTAACCCATTTTAGTACTTTGTTTTCTGGTTTCTTATCAATTTCTTCCAAATGACTATTCATCACTAAACTGAGTAGTTATCAACTCACTCGATTGTGTAAGATTATTTGCTCTTTAACACTCATTGTTATACTAACTGTACAGCTTTGAAGTGAAGTTACTCTTTTCTGACTTATGTGTTCTTAATTATATTACATGGGAATTTTCTATACATTTTCAAAAGTGCTGATTTCTATTTCTTACGAACACTAGTAAACAAAAGACCTACTTCCATGCAATCTTACTGGTTGTCCGTTAATATCCATTATTATAAGTAAAGTGTGCTTGTTGATTGGCCCCTAGGAAGCAACAAGTGACGTGTTATCTAGTTTTTAGCTCAGAGTGGGTTAGTTATCTCGATCAGGTTAGCAATTTCACTGCTACGATAAATGACTGGTTGTCGCATTGCATTTCGAACTGATTTTAGATCTGTTGGAGGCAGTCGGTAGAAACTGATGAACTGACCTTTCATCTTTGACTGCAGCAGTGCATGAAGAAAAAATCTACTCCCTTCACATTTCAGATACAGCTTGCTGGTGAGCATCATAAAAGCTTTCTGCCGACTATCTCCAAGTATACTATATTATTCAATTATTGTTTGTAACCTTTAAAGCGAAAAATACTCTCATAAATTACAGCAGTTGATTCCATAATAAATAGCTTATATGTAAAAGATTAGTCTGGTAATAAGTAGGTAAGTAATTGTAAGCTTTATTAAGCTTTACATTTGCATATAGCCCGATTCACATGGCTTATGGCGTTTCTACTGAGATCGCAACTAAGCCACACATGCTCAAAAGACCCTATGACTTTATGCACTAGGTTATTCAGCTACAATAGTCAGTGTTCTTCTTCAAGAGGTATTGGTCGTTGCTATTGCTTTTGGAGATTCCGACCTCCTCCACTGTTATTTTACACGACTCAGTAAATGCATTACTAAGCTAACCCTCCCTGGTGAATATTTCATTAAGAATGATATATATATATATATATATATATATATATATATATGAATCAAATATTATTGATAACAATAATATATTTCAACTGAAGACAACAAATTGTAGGCGTGATATATACATACATGAGGAAGACAAAATTAATTGAATTCTATAAAAACTCGACCTTAATCGTATTATTTTCGAAAACCAATAAAATTAAAACTTACAAGAAAAATGAGATTGGTGATGTTAACTTCAGGTCATGTGACATCTTGGATAAAATCGATTCGGCTTTTTCATTACTGATTCTATGATGAGAGAGAAAGAAATGCTTTACGTAGGATAAACTATATTTAGAAAAACAAAACAAAAGGTTTTCATCAAAGTACATTCAAAAGTAGGCATTTATCATCTATCCCGGGTTTTGTACACTTAATTTTACTTGTAATCATCAAATAAAATTAACGAATCTCCGAAAAATTTCACAAAGTATTACTCATAGTTCATTGAGTTTCAGAACACAAAATACTACCATACTGAAACATGAACTTCTCAAGATTAGACAATTAGACAAGCATTAGAAACACTGAAGGCGGAATCAGATATTGGGATGCTTTTTGCTGACTCAGAAGAATATCACATCATTTACATTGGGAGAATAGGAAGAAGGCATACGTCCAATTTTCTGAACATGTACCAAAAATGGCCCACGAATTCTAACTTCTGCCAATTCACGACATAGCGCGACCATTTCGCAATGTCTTCTTCGATGAGTTACTGCCTCATCTTCAACCTGCTGTACCCTAATGGTCACAGCTTACCACTAGGATACAGCAGGTTGAAGATGAGGCAGTAACTCATCGAAGAAGACATTGCGAAATGGTCGCGCTATGTCGTGAATTGGCAGAAGTTAGAATTCATTGGCCATTGGTTCGGGTCCCAGTGGCTTAATGGTCTACGAGCTCGCCTTGTAACTAGAAGGTCCTGGGTTCGAACCCTGGGGTGCGTACTGATGAAGAGTCTCAAATTAGGATGAAACAGCTGTCCAGTACTTCCAGGTTTTCCAGTGGTTCTCTAACTGACGTCAGCTCATGATGAAATCCTCCATCCAATCAAATAAAATCCCTATAAAACCAATACTTGAAAATGTACCAGAAAGCCGACGTCTTTTTGAGGGAACAAATACTTTCAACAGTGCCACTGCCAGACATCTCCTTGACATGAGTCATGAGGTAGATGTTGCGAGATCGTTCAAAATTATCCATAGGCAAAGGAGTTCAATTCTCCTTAAGTCTGCAGAAGCAATCTCCATCAAGAGCCTGAAACCCAACTTATGTGTTCAGAAAGAAGTAGTTATCAGTCTTTCTTTGCCTTGGTAACTAGATGTTTCATCCTCTCCTTCATTCGATTACGTAACGCCGAGAATTCCACTGCGTATGATTATTATTGCTTGATATAAAGTGATTGTTATTATTATTACCATTGTATGCATACACTGATTTTTTGTTTAAAAATGAACTCTTTGTGTAAGTATATTAAAACTGTTTCTGTACATAAACTTAATAATGTCATCGGGCTGTAAGCAGCTGATGAGATGCCAAAGAAATAAATGATGGTACCATTTTATTCTGCACAAATTGCTGTTCTTGCTTTTTAAAATTCATAAGAGGGAAATAAACGGATGAAGGAATATCATAGTGGTGAATGTAAATCGTTGAAAACCTTCTGAGTAAATTTTTTGAGAGTAAAATATTCCCCTCTGACGACATATGGCATAACATACACTGAGTAGCAGGTATGTTCTTGTATTCGATCAAACAAACAGCCTGATAATTCGCATCTTAAATAATGTTTTTGGTAATAAATATTTGACTACAGTTCGAGTCATCATGCCTTATAAAAGCAAAACCACTGAATGAAACGTTGGCAACACGATGCTCATCTACTCCTTTTTGGCAAAAGCAGTTTATCTTATTGATATAAGTATAAAACTTGGGCACTTCATTTATATAAATGAAGTAAAAAGTTGTGTGAGTGACTTGGTATGATTATGAGCAATAGTTTGTGCTCGAAACGTCATCAATCACTATGTGGTAGAGTGCGCTAGCCATTGGTAGATAGTAATTTACGTCAGTGTTTACGTCCCCAAATCGGTCGTGAGAAAAATAAGAACAAAGACTGTTTCAACCTTCAATCACAGCAAACTTTGTGTAGGTGGATACAATTTGCAGATAGATAATCTGAACTTCAATAAACGGCCACAAAGAGATGAAAGATTAACGTTCAGCGAGAAACCACCAATCACAACTCTTTGTTAATAATCTATAAGCATATTATCTAACATCTGCCTGGCTTTTGTCTTCTGTCGTTACACTATTACTGTATAACACTGTGTGATTTATCAAAATAAAATCTAATCTGTAATGCAGTTTATCTTATTTGCAAATTTTATCTAACCACATGAATTTCAACTTAAAATAGACATAACTCTCCTCAGTGTTACAATTACTCCATACTAAAGAATGGTTATCATAATTAAATTTAAATTTGAATCTTCATTTCAAGGATTCTCCACTGAGGGTGCAAGAAGAAGGAATCAGTTGGTAACAAGTTTCATTGGTTCATGTTTTGAAATGTCGTTGAACGACTTGATGTAAGAGTGGTTGGCTTCAGTGTGTTCATAGACGTTTTGTAAATAAAGTCACCAGTTTAATAAAATCGTCTAGGTATCATATTCATTTTTGAGTGCAACGACATAGTTACATTTTTTTGATTACAGCTTGAAACCACACTGTATTTGTGGTACAAGTATGGAATTTTCAGCATGTGATATCGGTAGCCCAAATTTTGCAGGCCGACCATAGATATCTGGTGTGCGTCGGCAGGGGATCGAACCCCGGACCATGTGCATGGTCGGCGAGAGTCCCAACCGCTGTGCTACCGACGCACATGTGTGTGTCTGTGACTTTAAAGTCAAAACTGAATTGCAAAGCACTTTCAAAATCCATAGAATACAGTCAACTCAGAAAGTATCAATGAAATAATGATTTAGTAAACAAAGATCACAAAATACTACTGATAACAATTTAATTCTTTATTTAAGCTAAATCTACGGTAAGAAAATTAGCCACAGTTTGCTTAAATGATACACATGGTAATTACCGTTGACCATTAAACAGTCCTTCTTACTTCTTCATTGGGTAGGTCTCTTAGGGTGAAAAGAAACCACCCCTTACATACAGCATAATTTTGCTTAATTATTTTTTTCAAAAACTTATGCAGAATCCTAATTCCAGAGATGGGTGTTTTACTTTTATTTATTCTTAGATGTTTTAATCTAATAGAGTGTCAGGTTGTACTTTTTCTCAAGGAAAAATTTTAGCTCTTTTTAATTAAACTTCACTTGGGAGAATTCTGTCTTTCTTTTATGTTGTACTAATGACCTGAAATAATAAGGATCAATACAACATCTCATATGATTCAAGTAATCAATCGGAGTTGCCATATGATTCTTTTCTTCATTTTGCTTAGCTGTCTTTGTGTGTATTTGTTTTTGCTTTTCTTGTTGGAAATTAAACTTAATCATTTTTATTAATATCATACATGAAGGATTATGCAAATTCTTGTAGAGAGTTTTAATTTAATACAACAGGTTTTATTAATTCAGGTTCTCTAGCCGATGTTAGCTCATGATGGAATCCTGTAACCAATCAATCAAATCCCTACAAACCAATACTTGAAAATCAATGAGATGCTCACTTGCGACCGGCCCTATTCAGGGGTTCTAGTGGGATGTCGTCACTAGTAGGATGCAGCAGGTCTGGTGTGAGGACAAATACTCCCCGAAGGCATTGGCTAGCGATCGCGCTATGTCGTGAATTGGCAGAGGTTAGAATTCATGGGCCATTGGATCGGGTCCCAGTGGCTTAATGGTCTACGAGCTCGCCTTGTAACTAGAAGGTCCTGGTTTCAAACCCTGGGGAGTGCGTGCTGATGAAGAGTGCCAAATTAGGACGAAACAGCTGTCCAGTACTCCCAGGTTTTCCAATGGTTCTCTAACTGATGTCAGCTCATGATGGAATCCTGTAACTAATTCAGGTTTATTTGAGCATATACATATGTATTCACTGGAAATAAATTGTTTCACAGATAAATACTTTCCGTGATTGTAGTTGGATGCTACTGATTTTAGCGGAAATCAGAGGATGTGAATCTCAGCCATGATATTATTTCATTGATGACCATAAATAATACTTATGCTGAAATTTCTCCAATACAAATGCCAACCTAAAACCACCACATGTATTTAATACACTGACAACTGAAGTGGTACATAATTTTATCATGAGCTGATATTGGTTAGAGAACCATTGGAAAACCTACTAGTGCTGGACAGCTGCTTCGTCCTAGTTCGGGACGCTTCAGCAGTACGCACCCAGCGGGATTCGAACCCAGGACCTTCCGGTTACAAGGCGAGCTCATAGACTATTCAGCCCCCGGGGCCTATGAATTCCAACTTCTGGTACATCTTCATCCTGTGTTTTTCTAAGAAGGTTAGCATGCATATAGTGTCACAAATACGTAAATGGATCATTATTATTATTCCCTTAGGTTCCAAGTAGAACATAAAGCTTCGACAAGTCATCTCCTTTTCATCTGGTTTACTGAAGTCGTCTTTAGCTGGCCCCACGATTGCTTATAAGCTTTCATCTCCTTCTCACACGATTTCCTTCATATCACCCTCCACTGCCCAACTCGTCGTTCCCCTCTCGGATTCCACTCAAGGCGTTGCCTGGCGTGCGATGTTATTCAGGGGTCTCCTCACCGTGTGTCCGACTCATCTCCATTTTTTCAGAATAGGCTGTTCATTGGTTCGTTCCCATAGTTGCTTGTTGCTAATTCTTTCTAGTCATATGATATTCAGTATGGAGCGAAGGCAGCTACTAATAAAAGTCTGGAGCATGCTCGAAAAGTCTTTGAACACTGACTCAGTTGACATTAGTGTTGAAAATCCGGATCTTGTTTTTTATGCTAAGTGCAGTAAACTTCCATACTAATTCACACTAATGAATGTCTGACTTGTCTTTTCGATTCTGATTTTGACATCCTTATCCATACCGCCTGTATTTGAAATGATGCTGCCTAGAAAAGTGAAGGAGGTGAACTCTTTCGAATTTCTCCTGTTGACGGTGATTGGTGTTTGTTGTTAATTGGTTATCTCCATCGACTCTGTCTCGTCTACTTTCACTTGAAGTCCTGTATTCGTTGCCAGTCTCTCCTGCCAACTTGTTGCTTTTCGCCTGTACACCATCGAGTTTGTATGACATTAGACATAAATCGTCCGGGAAGTCCAAATCTTCTAGAGTCTTCTTATGGTTCCAACGTATTCCTGCCCTACCAATCCCCACAGCCTACGGCATAATCGAGTCCACTAGAATCAGCAGTGTCATAAGAGATAGCAGGTAGCCTTGTTTTACTCCTGCCTACTTCAAAGTCTTCGCTGAGATTACCGCTGTGAATCATTTGCCTGCAAAATACTATTCTAAACTTTCTTTAGATACGCGTCAATACAGTTTCTAAAGTGATGATACCAATAAATCCATAAATCTAGCTTTTCACTAACAATACAGTAGAAACCATGATTACTGTAACAGATAGAAACTAGAGAACTAATTCCAATTCAAAAGATGCATAAGCAATTAGTTTACTATCAATATAAGATTTAAATTTGTCCACTGAGGTCAAATATGAGAACATAATAGTATTTGATATTACGTCTCAAGCGTTATTTATTGATCGTATTCATATCAGTAAATTCCCACGACTTCTTAACTTGCTTTGCATATATTTTTGAATATTTTTAATGTAAGTATTAAATGTATCCAAGACAGGTAATGCATTATTTCAATTGCATGGTGTCGAATCAATGAGCAGAGATTCGGTAGTTAGTCTCTCCCTCCACCTAGTTATATTAATTCCACTCTATCCCAAGTTATTATGTGATTACATGCTAGTAAATGCACTGCGGTGGCCAATATCTTTTCTAGAATATTTTTTGAGTATACATAAAAATATTTGATTCTCCTTATAGCCTGCCTCTTGAAGTCTATGTGTATAACACGATTCCCCATTCTTTTCAAAAGTAGGCAAATTAATCTATTCTTTATGTTTGATGAATAAATTGTGAAGATTCAATCTTCCTCCTAGACAACATCTTCAGCGATAACTTCAAAATGACATCAGCCCTACGAATGAAACAACCGCCTTTCCTAACGACTGCAACAGTGCTCGGTTGTCTGCAGAAATTCTTTCGGCATTGTATTTGCTTGTATTGGTACTGATCAGATATTTGACGTTTTGGTGGTGTTTTTTTTAATTTTATTCCTTTACTTTCTGAGTGGGAAGTAGGACTTCAAGTTGGAGCTTTTGAAGTTCCGGTAGCAGTGGTTTTATTTTTCCGGGTTGAGGTGGCAAGCCTCACGCCCAACCTTCGCTCTTTACCAGCCCTACTACCGGTTAGCGAGGTCTAGGAGTGCGTCGGCCGGGGATTGAACCCCAAACCACTTGCGTAGTTGGCGCGAGTTCTACCACCTAACCTTTGGGGTGAGGCGCATGCATATAGTGTGCAGCCTTCTTCAAACCTTAAATACAGCAGTTAGGTCGCGCACTGTCCTATCACCCTTGACAGATCCGGCAACAAAAGTCACCAGAACACCATCAGAGCATGTGACAGGCTAGGTACACCAACAAGAAGAACTGTCAGAGTAACTCCTTTTTTATTGACTGTTAAATGTGACACATATCCAGATGTCTGCTGATTACAAAGCAATCTGAATACTCGGGTTTCAAGTAGTGTCTGAGATTTTTAGTGTTTCCATGGGTCTACACTTTCCCAGTCGAATTCATGTCCGTAATCGTCTATATGCGATTATATATATATATACATATATATATATATACCACCAGCAACAGTTTCAGTAATCTGGATGTCCAGCTTTCAAGTTTATTCTGATACGATTTAATTACGGAATGCATCTTTTTCTAGATAAATTTCGCATATCACTCATTTGCATTTGTTGAGAATAACTTCTCGAGCATGTAGTACTATAAAATTTAAGCATAAATCTGGATACGGGAAAATAGAGATACATAATTTAATCTCCTTTTTTGAAACTAGGTGAAACGATTGAAAACCATCAGTCTATAGGTAAAATATTTAGTAGCTAAGCATTTAAGACAGAGTTTCATTGAACACAACATTCTCAGTAATTGTACCAGTAATATAATTAGCAGCTGATTTTGCTATTTAATCACGTTGTGATAACTTACGGACCATCCAAAAATTTTATCCAAATCCATCTGTGTTCCAAATGTTTATATGGTCCAGACATTAATTTTTGTGCACGTAATCGGGTAATTGAATTGAATGGGCTAATCATTTCCTCTTGTCTCTGTTGAGGTTGAAATTCCAGAGCTGAATTTTCGTCTACTGACTCTTCATTAATACCTGAATAAGTTGTTTGAGAATGTTAGATGTATATACCATTTAGAAAAATTTACTTCAATAAATTTCAAATCTAAATGAAAATAAACCATTTATACTGTATGTCACATCAACAGCTGCCTTCGCTCAATACTCAAGATCAGATGGCCAGAAAAGATCAACAACAAGGATCTCTGGGAGCGAACCAACCAGGAACCGATTTTGCAACAAATAAGCAGGAAGAAATAGAGGTGGATTGGCCATACTCTGAGGAAACCATCAAGTGACATCACTAGACAAGCCATTGCTCGAGTGGAACCCGAAAGGGAAGCGGCGAGTTGGTCGTCAGTGCAAGGGTGACTTGGAGGAGGTCATGTGAAGAGGAGATGAAAGCATGTGGGCAGACGTGGAGCCAGGTGAAAACTTTAGCAGAGAACCGAACGCAATGTTCCTCTAGGAATTAAAGGAAATAATAATACTGTATGTCACTCACTATATTATAAAATATACAGTTGTTGTTGTTGTTCATGCTGTTATGGTCTTAATCTGAAAATTAGAAAAGTCCATTGAACAAGTAACACCTTTTCTCATTGGTGGATTCCTAAAGGATCAAACTTTTAAATATTATAGATATGAATCTGTATGAATGAAATCTGTGCTAATGAATGTCTCTCAGATCACAATGTGCAACACATATTTTGAAGTCACCGACTTCTCTCTAAGTGGAAAGAGAGAAATAAGACTAAGCGTTTCATTCATTGGCGCTAAAGATATTTCATTTTGGTCAGAACTCTTTTTCACATGAATAAATTGCTCATGAAATTCTATTGCTACATATTATACTAGCACTTCAGATGAGAACTAAACTATAGGCACAAAAGGTGTGTCAATGGACTTAGCTACTGAATGGGAACAATCACCATGTCTCAGATCATGATGTGATGCTGTATGCTTGTTGGCATTTTATATCAACTGCATCATAAGTTGTTACGACACATCCTTTTCAAAGTTTTTGTTGGTAAGGAAGTGTTTGTTTGATAAACTTTCTTATGGAATAAATTAGAATTTAGAGATATGTTAGTTTAAAAATATTTAAATAGAAATCCCACAAGTTTAACTGCTGTACATTTAGAAAAAACAAGGTATTATGATTCTTGGGTAACTTTCTTGTAGTGCCTACAATCTATCGCCAAATAGTAGCAAAGTCAAACATTCATCCGTTTCCCCATTACTGACCTCATATGATGTTCTATGTTCAAGCCGACCCAGCTTGGATAGTCAAAATAATTTACTAGCGAACCAACTTAATTACTGATATCACCTTACAGCAATATCTCATTAGCTTATGCAGTTTCTATGATCACATGTGGCACGATTCACTTGTAACTTCCTAGTGAATTATTCTTGCATCAATCAATATTGTATAATTTCAATTTTTATTTCCTTTCATCTTCAGTTTTGAGATGACAACACTAGCATACTTTTCTTAATATAAAAACTAACATTTAATATGGAATTTCTTTTCTTTATCCCGATCTGACAGAGACATATCTAATTGAATCAACAAACTATCGATTTTTCAGTGTAAACACTAGGGACTGGTGAACATTATCCACATTGCATATATAAGCTGATAAGTATTGAAATGAAGATGAATAAGTACTGAACTTCCAGAGTGAAAAAATTATGAACACGACCTGATACACTTTAAAAAGGTAAAAACTAGAATATTCTGATATGAAGTAAAAATTGCATATTATTGACAAAAATGGTTTGAGAAGCTTAGATTCTATTGGTGGCTTAAACATTACTTGCGATACTTCAATAGTGTCATTCAGTGGTCAGTAATGAAGGAATTCAACAATGCACTCCTTAACCTAACTTGAACCGATCGATATGATTCTAATCCAACTCAATCTTTCGGCTTCTACTAAGATCTACATCCCATTTATCAAGCATAAGATACTTTTATGACCAAAAACATCGAAAACCGGTTTCAGTGTCAATGTAAACAGTGAACTACAAAATCTTGGGTACTTCTACCGTTTATCATACAGTACTAACCACGATAAGTGTTGTCTTCAAACAGGAAATTTACCGTTACAAAATATTTACAAAAATAATTGAATATCTCTTGTTATATCACTATGATACTATAATTATTATTATCATCATCAAAATAATATTCGATGAGTAAGCAGACATTTTATTACAGACAAACCGGAAGTGAGTATAAAGCAGTAACAACAACAACAACAATCGAGAGTGTAATATAAATATCATCTGTATAATTAGAGATTAAATTTCTGTGAAACTGTCTGTAATCATCTATAGGAGAATTTCAAGGAGGGACAATGTTAAACAAACAGTCATTAATACCCAGAAAAAACGTATACTACACAGGAGTTATTACTGTCACCTCAACTGCATGCCTCCATCCCAATACTAACGAAAAGTCTCTGGAATCACCAAACACACAAATGGAATGATCAACTCAGAATTTTGCTTTTGTTGTTGTTTAAAATGATCTAATAAATGGACATTAAAAAGAATTCGTAGTCGCTTATATTTCATTTTCAAAAACAAATCGTCGTTTTTTGTACGAATAATGATAATTATGATGATAAACATTTAAAGATTAGAATTTTTAGAATAAAATTGTATATTATTTGAAAAATGAGAATAATTTGTTTTGAATAATTTTTGCAAAAATAATAATAAAATATTATTTTAAAAACATTGGAATAGCTATTAACAACATTTTTGAAAACATTTAAATAGCCGCCCTTACAAAAGCTGATTATATTAGTTGGATTATTTAAACGAATTCTGAGGTAAGAGAGCTGACTAAAATGTTATCTCCCAATGGTTTTTTTTCTTTTTAGATAATTTTTTAATGTTCCATCCTTTATAAAATATAATAAACGTGGTAAAATTTAATTCTATCTAGCCATCAATCACCAACACTGACTTAACTTCATCTAACTGAGGTTCAATGCCTTCCTTATATTGCTAATAACTGCTTATCCTCAAATAGTTTGGATGATGCGTTGAAAGTGTCATCTACTTGATTAATCGTAACAAGTGACTTATACACTTGTGTGTCTATGTTAATATTAGAAATACTTGTGCATTATCCTTGTTAAATGAATAGGTCCATTCATCGTAACAAGAATCCATGGCATATAAACTAAAATCTTTTTTGACTGAAAATTCTCATTTTTTACATAGATGGTTCTGCATAGGTTACTCATTTTTTAAGCTTGTCTATAAATAGAACTATGGGTTCTGAATTAGAATTCCAGAGAAAACATCTTCATATTGAGATGCAATCAGCTTTAAAGTGTCACTGCTAATTGTTTACAAACTAATGACACCAGGATATAACTTAAGACAACAGCAACGCATTCGTTTGCAAATCTTTTATTTCAGAAAGATAGATATAATTAGAGTCCAGTGAAAATTACGAAATGAGATTATAAGTGTGAATGCAGGGCATAGCATCGAATTTTTCTCAAAGCCTTTCATTATACATTTCCAGCAGAAACGCGGAAATCGGGGGGATGTCTCATAGAGTTAAGTCGTAAATGAAGAAAATCACTGTAATTTACTATTGCTTCTCACAAGATGATAATACGTTTCCGAATCTCTGCAAACTTATTTTCCTACTTTTAATTTCAAGTATGAATCGTTTTTCTAATCTAATTTTACCAGAATTTTCACTTAGGCATTCAGGAAATATAACTCTTTTGTACCTCCTTTTCATTATTTATTTTCTGTCCAATTTGACACTAAAAGTTTGAGAAATAAATTAACTGAATGTAACTAATTGCCCAAATAATAATTAATGTTTTAATGAGCGGTCGACCGGTCTACTATGAAATTTCTGTAAAATGTCGAAACCCAATCAAAATTCGAGCCCAAGGTCATTAAAGTCACTTCTGTTGATATATATATTAGGAATTAAATGAAGCAATCTGAATTATTTACATATTTATACTAGGTAGGGCATGAATTCATTTGTTTTCTTCGTTAGACATTGTGCAATAAAATAAATTGTATAAATCATTGAATTCCCAATGGATGACAATAATAAATTAGTTTCAAGGTATACCATCATCAGGATTTGGTACATTCCTAGTTTTACAAAACAACCCCGAAAACAATCAAGCCATAAATTGCTCGATTTTTGAAACAAATCTAACAAATTTTAAAAAATTAAATTAAAATTTCAGGAAAGTCAAAATCACAAGTCAGAAAAAAAATAGAAGGTTTAGTTAACAATGAGATAGGAGAATAGATTGACACTAATCATTTAACATGCACACAGAGATCACTGAAGCATTAAATCAGTATCTTAAAATGACAAATTTGTAATTTGTGTATGATATATATATGGAAGGCAGAGGTCAAGTTCAGCATATTATGAATATAACATATTAATTTACCAGTCAATAAATAGGATGAAAACAAACTCAATACATTCTGTTTTGTTTAAAAAGATAAATCTTTCAGTAATCATTAGTCAGAGTTTTCTGTAACCATGTCATAAATCTACTTGACCGATGGTAATGCGCTCATCTATATTTGATATTTTTAAGAAGCGACTAAATATAGCTTGGTAGTATTCTAAAATCTATACTCAGTTTTATTTTCCAAAGAAAACATTTCAATCACCTCCAGTTCGGTGTAACTGGTGTATATGTAACTCATGGAAAATCCAAACAGTTAACTCCACCTTAAAGTCACCGTCTGGAAAGAAAATAGAAGCCTTACAATCATACCATCCATCTCACACTAGGATGATTTTCAGTGATTCTCCGAAAGATATCTATTTCTGATAAACCTTGACTTAAAAGGCCTTTAACACTTTTTTTCTTCACGTTCCCCAGTGGAACATAGGGCTTCAGGCTAGTGGCTTGAAGTTTCTGTAGCAGTGTTTATTTTACAGGATGGGGTTGCTAGCCTCATGCCCAACCTTTCCTCATTACCAGCTTTTTATTTCTGGTTTAGCGAGGTAGAGGAGTGCGTTGGCCGGCGATCGAACCCCGGACAGCTCGAGCGTCCTAACCGACGCACAGACCAAATATTTAACTGTTTGCTTGGTATGTTAAGTTTGCATTATATTTAAGTCGATAATGCCGGAAGACTATGCTGTACAGCGATATATGAGCAGCAGCACCATAAAAATGATTCATTCTTGTTTTTAAATCCCAAAAGTTTTGCTAAATTTTGATATAATCAGCTTTATTCAACACAAAATATCCTTACTACACGAAAACAAGAAAGTGTTGAAATGATCTCTGAAATTAAAATTGCACACTATTATGAAAGTACGAAGTGAAGAAACTGAGGCTTACAAATTAGTTCGATTCTAATATCTGCAGGATTAGTATTCACTTTCAGAATATTGTCCTTTTTAAATGGTTTCCACCGAAATTCGCTGTTCACACACTGGTCAGAAGTGGGATTTTAGAAACTCGCTTTCACGTGTGGACTGAACATAAAAATGTCGACCATAAAATCATTCAGATTAACTTCACTGATATCTGAGGGACAGGACTAAACTATTCACAGTTCTGTTGAACAATATTTAACAACTGATATAAAATATAACCAGATTACCATGAAAATCATTTAGGTGAAGGTTTAGGCAACTTAATAAACTCATTATATGCAGTTACAAAAGAAGTTAAATCGGAGCTTTAATGGGAAATGGTTAAGAAAGTATATTGCTATAGTTAAGTCGCAGACTCAACATACTAAGTGAAACTTTTGTTTGATGCAATTTGAATTTCCCTGTTGACTGATTGGACCGAAGTGTTCGGCCTCTGTTGACAAGTCAGCTCCCTGTGCGGATGCTTCAACAATGTCTGAGGATTTAACTTGAATTAATTTGGTGGATGGTGACTCGTAGTGAAATCTAGGATGTGCATTTCGTTCTATTTGGAATTCGTCATCTGGATTTACCTACATTCCCCAGTGAGTGATGGTGTTCCCATTGGGGCTCGAACACAGTACCCATCATTTCAAACGCCAAAGCGTTATCCAGTAGACCACTTGGGTCTCGAGAGCCACCTCTTGTGCAACAGGTATCAGTTATTATTTAATTCACTTTTGATTTCCCTTTTGATTGACTGGGCATAACACATAATTTGACAGTGTGAGCATGACACGTTAATTAAACTCATAGTTTCTCAGTTATTCTTTAAAAGTCTTAATATGTTCAACTAAAATTAGTGGTTTATTCTAAAATCAATGTGGAAAACGTATAATAAACCTTGATATCCCTCAAATGTCTACTTCACTCTGTGTAATTCTATGATCTAACTGAATCCCTACTGCAGTTTTCTAACTATTCAGCCCCAATATAAAGTGCGCAAAAGCAAATGCTTACTAAGCAAGACCAAAGTCTTTATCAGTTTCCCAAATGTTTATTATCGTCTAAAAATATGAACTGACAAAGATTAAAATCTCTGTATATTCACAGTTTCTAAATCTATTTGACTCTACAGATAAGATATACGTTGCTACAAAAAAATTTACAGCAACAAATTTAAAGCTTTCCAATGGTTCCTTATTGAGTTTTTTAATTTACTCACGTGTAATCAGAAAAAGGAGTAACATTGAAAATACTTTTGTGACTCATGAGAAGAGTATCTTTACAAGGGTAAATTTTGTTTGAGTTGATTGATTTTTATTTTATCAGGTATGTGACATATCTTTTATGAAACCTTAGTCCCCAGTATTGTCTATTGTTATTTTTAGAAAAATATGTGGCTAAAGGACCTTGTAAATAATTTATTTAGGAGTTTTATTTGCATATACATGAAAAAAGATAAAATGGTACAGAAGTGAAAAAAGGGTGAGTTATTAGGAGAGATAGAGAGAGAGAAAAACAAAGAGGTGGAAAAATGAGAGAATAGGAAAAGTAATGCAACGCCTACATGAAACCAGTAGATTATGTCTGATTGTTACTGGTTTATCTCATCTGTCTGCCTACACCGTATTTGTCATAGTAATCTCATTCACTAAGCTTAGTTTGACCAATTCATCATAGCATCTTTTTTATAGACGCATTGTGTATATCGATTCATCACGCATATTCATAACAGGATTTTAATGTTTCTAACTCTCACCTATTGCTTGATATAACTATGATACAAAATTATATCCTAGGAGTAACTGTTTCCAGTGTAGATAGTTCAGACAGCATTTTCTCTGCGATGCTCACTCTGTATTGAAAATGAGTCCTCTTTCTTGTCATTCGTTTTTTTGTTGTTGCAGAAAACAGGAACTTCTGAATCAGGGCAAGGAATTTCAGTGATAAGTACTTTCCAACCTTCTATACATCATAATGTGGTAGCTGGTCTTTATTCATTTATTTAATTTATTCAGATGATACATAAAAACTAAAATTAACATACATCAACTTTTAATAAAGTTCAGTGTTTGTTGTTCAATAATTCTAGATACGTTTAATAAAGTTCTGATTAGAAATCGAAGCCTGTAGAATTAGTCAGTTTTAAAAGAAAACTGAATCCTCCATACATATTCGGCAGAAAACATGGCTGAAGTGGTTAAATATATTCACGTCTGAAGTTACAAGATAGCTTTGTGCATCAGATACTTTAGGAAAACAAAAACATGGAGACAGTAGTAATGTTATCAGTTAGATAAAAAAATGTAAGCTGGAGATTTAAACACTAAATTATTACTGAACTGTGTGGTAACATCCACTGGTTTCCGTAAAGTTTTCAGCTTATACCTGTCTTAACAAATCTTATAACTACACCAGTTAAGTCTATGAACCTGATAGCGTGAAAATTGTAATAAATTACCAACTGCGTTCACAATACTCACTACCATTTTTGTATATGTACGTATACTACTGACTTTTATGTTTCAGTAGTATTTACATCACTGTTCAAAGATTAAAGGGTTATTAATAATCACAAGTATGTTTTTCGTTCCCCTCTACAAAGCAGAACACGAAGACCGTTTTATGCTAGTCTGTCTGCCATATATTACGATAAATTGAGGTCAAATGAAAATATCAAGTGTTGTCTTTCGAGGATTCGAATAGATTCGACTTGGAGAACTATTGAAAAATAATGATTCTCTAGTTGACGTCAATCTGTAGTCTCAGTTTCGTCGTTGTCTTTAGGTGCAAAAATTAAAACGTCAAATGGTAAACACACTGTTATTCGGTCAATAAGTGAGGTTCAAACTGTGTGAGAGTTTTAATTTCTTCACTTTGAAGATCCATCTTAGTTACCACTCAATGATATACATTGGTAACTGTGTTCGTCTAAGAGTTATATGATTTCAAATGTCCAGAAATACCCTAAAAGTATTTCTGTTTGTTATCACCTCAAGATGAAAAGTACGTTATAATCATTTGACTGTTTACAGACAACTGGACTAATTATTAAGTGAAATATACTTCTAGAAGTTCGAGGTGAAATAAAAAGCCTAATGGCGACATTGAATGATGGCAGCAGTGTTTAAATTATGAAATACAGATGACATTGGGAAGAATCCTCACGTTATTATTTAGTGTTACAACATGTTCACCAAAATGATTTCAACCAGTATTGCAAACCTCTTTTGACTTTCATATTCATTAAGCCTGAAATCTATGCACTCACAAAGTGAATTGTTCTTATCATACAACAAAATAACTTACTGGCTGGTATTAGATTGTAATATTGATATAATTTCGGCTCCGTTATCATCTCATTATCTTTTCTCTGTGATGTATCATCCATTAATTGATGTCCATCAACTTGCTTATTCTCATAGTTTGACTCTCCTCTTAAATTTTCCGACAAAGGTATCATTTGTTGAATTCGTTGACTGAAATCGTTCATTTGATTTTCATTATACATTTCTGTATTCATTGCTTCATTTTTACCATAAGCATCCATCCACTGGTCATAATTTTCACCACTACTTCTAGGCAATGGCTCATAATAAGAGCTTGGTGTTTCCAGGGGGTTATTAAATATATAGTTTGGATATGCTCGATTTATTGGAGCTGCACGTTTTACATACTGCCATTTGAATTGATCGTCAATAGCATTACTCTTGATAGGTGTCGAGGAGTGTAAGGAGGGTGACATTAGTAGAGAAGGTAGTATATGGATGAGTTCTTTATCTACTTTCTCGTTACTGTCATAGTTGTCATATCGACTGAATATTAAGTCTTCAGCAACATCTTCATTATGTCCATTTAAACAAAACGACTTCGCATCAACAAAGTTTGTCTGAGTTCTTTACATTAAAAAAAAAGAAAAAGAAAAACGTTATTGAACATAATTTTTAATGCAATAAGTAACCAGAGCAAAAGCAGGGAAACATCTAATTATCAAAGGAAACAACAGCACATTAACTCTATTCAAGCCGCTTATTTATGCAAACACAAAAATAGATTATAATAATGAGATATCTTTAAAGAGTGAAGTCTACGTCGGATGACCAATCTAAATGTGAGGTAGTAACGTTTACAGTCTGAAGAAAAGCTATGTCATTGCATGACCCAATTAAGTGCCTCTCAAACTTACGGATTGGAGCTCACTGATCATACTGCTAAACTTAGCTACTAAATGGGTTCCTGTCTGGTTGAAGTTAACGGGAGCTTTGGTCATCATACATTTTACATGAACTGTTCAACAGATCTTCCTGGCTGTGTAAGCTTAGTTTATAAGAATAACCTAGTCAAAATAAATGTATAGGAAAAGTTGTAGTGTTTCTGGATAAATCCTGATTGGTGGTAAAACCCACTAGTGGCCTTTACTTTCATAAGAAGGCATATTAAAGCAGCTACTGAAGTAATAAATGAGGACAGATTACTGCACTATGAGATAGGAATTTTTCGACTTATTTTCAAGGCAATGAGTGATATTATTGCATCCCATACAGAGGCTCTCTTACGATAATCCTTTCAAATTAATGACATATTTTGTAAACAATTCACAGTGAAGTATACTTTCTAGTGGATGTTAATAAATTCTTTTTATTGACCCTGTAAACTAACTTTTCTCAAAACACCTGTCTGACAGTCCTGTAGTACAATATTGAAAAAAACAGTCACCTGGTGTTTTGGCAGTAAAACATCACGTAGGCCAATAACTGCCCTAAAATCTTGATTATTTATCCATAACCAGTTATCATTAGAATGCTAAAAACGCCGAAGTCTTATCGAATGGCCTAGTCAAATAAGACATCAACTGGTTGTCTGGTTACATTGGAAATTTTGGATTTTTCCAGTATTGTTTTATAGAACTTTTAGAATATGAGCTTTAACTAAAAATGACACAATAATGCCTGCACTGAAATTTCACTCTTCCGTCCACTAACCTTTAGGAGTTAAATATAAGCAGCTTGTTTCATCCTTTATGAAACTCACTTGTTATATGCATGGAGAAGTCTGTACAGGTCTTCCAAGTGTCAAAGGAAACTGATCAACTTGGTCATGTAAATGCTAATTGGAAATCATATAAATTTCTAGAAATCTACAACACGTCTCACTGTAAGGAAAAGTACGACTTTATTTGTATTACACTGCACTGGACTTTTTGTACACTTTTGATATAATATGAGTGCTAACCAGTACTTACATTTGAATAATGACCAAAGAGCATTAGAACATGAAGATAATGAGTAGTATTCTAAATAAGTTTTAGCTGTTGACAAAATCAGAACAATAGTCTAGTGTTTCATACACTTCACTACATCTCATATTACATTAAATGATGATGAATGACTTCCTGTAAGTATCCCAGATAAAATTAGGTGAACATTATTAATTATCACACGAAGCTTTTTACAATGTCAGTTATAATACTTTTATAGTATTATGAATAAAAATGAAAATAAACCTGAATAAGAATGAAATTTATCCTGATTGATGTCATCACAATGTCAGAGTATGTCAATTAATATATTGTCTCATGACTCCTACAACTATTTATGCACTCCTCGGTGAATACTACTAGCCGATATCAAGAATTTATGCAACAATGGATGATGCATTTAGTGGCTGAAGCCGTTTGGTTTATTCTACTGACAATGAATACAAATCAGCAGAATGCAATTTATTGTGATCTATGAAAAAAAGATGGAGACATTCATTCATCAGACGCTCTTTACAGAGATAAACACAATAAACTTGAGTAGGAGAAGAACTGTGATGTACAGAGAAATAGGTGTAAAAATGGCTTTCATGCTGGACCATCGCATGTTTTACAAGCTCTAAATAGTCTAATATATCTTTTGACTTTAGAATATTCATAGTTTATCTGACCGCAAGTATACCAAACTAAGTCTGGTAGCCCATTCTGTAGGCTAATAATTCCAAGTAGCTGGTTTGAATTCTACTGCAACACAAGTTCTCATTTTATTTGCAACAGATACTCAGTGTTAACTTGCTTTAAGAAGAATTTCTCACTAGACGATCTACACGCCAGAACTATGTTTTGCTAATTCGGAAATAGCAGTCTGGTCGTTAGATATTCTCGATCTGACTGAAAAGTACTGTTGTTTAATGTGAGTTGTTTCCAACTATAAATACATCATTTGGTAACCTGCATTGTTCTCTCTCTTAGCTTGGCCTGAAACAAACAAGCAAACAATATTTCTCCTCTTACAAGTAAAACGATACTAAAATGTTACAGTTTCGCTCATCAGTGAAAATCGCGTTCCTTGTCTCATATATATGTGACACGAGTGAATTTTGCATTTTTGACACCGCCACTATTGTTCAACTTAGCCACAACGTCCATAGTGAAAAAGCGGAAAAACTGTCCTGTAAGAACAAAAGTGGACAGATGAAATCAGCACTTGTATAATTAATTAGAAGATTTCTCCATGAACTTTAAATGTAGCAAAAAATACCTCAAGCAAACAGGAATCATGTGCAGTGTATATCAGTTGGTGAAAACCTGTCGGTGTAAAGAAGTATCTAAATAATATTTATGAACTAAGAATTCATAATGCACATTTTGCGGGTATTTTACGCTTGCACACCTGCAGAAATAAATAAAGGAATGGCTAAGCGAAATATGACTGAACATTAGATTAAGCCGGTTGTGAACTTCAGAATTACAACTGTCTGTCTTATTTTTACCTTGAAAATAAAAGACGTCCAGGAACTAATGAACGCAAATCTTATCTGCAATATATTTATTTCAGAGGATGCACCACTTCACATTTGGCCCGTAATGTAAACTTGTTGTTATTGTCTCAAAATATCCCTGATTACTTGGTACATTCTCAATCCTTCTTTCCTAACTAATCACTACTTGTGTCTTATGGAGGATTTTGAGTGGATTTATTGCATATCCCCGTTAATTGTGGCGCCGTAGTCCATTGCTATAGAGGCTTAATGATTAGTTATATGCTTTCTTTAGGTGAGATTTCGTTTGAAATGTTTTCTGACATACATATTACCTGTGGCATAAAATTCTTGAACCACGTCACATTCGCTCAACTTTTATCAGAAAATATCGCTTGATGCTGATATCTACACAGCATAATTCATTCAAAAATGCAGTATGCTCAAACTTTAAACATATTTTCTTCAATTTTTATGGAGTCATGAGGTTATGTTTGGTCTAATTATTAGAACGTGGCAGTGCCCACAGGATAAAACAGGTGGCGCCACTTCAAGAAAGGGATATGGCATATAATCGCGCTTTAATTTGTAATTGGAAAATTCATCCCATTGTGCATAAATAGCCATAAGCCATGTTCGAGTTACAAATATGCATTTGCTAGAGCCTTACTTTCAGTCTAAAAGACATTAATGACGCAATACCTATGCATAAATTGTGATCAACTGCTCTTAAGTCAGTTACGAACATCCGACAACCAATCAATACATTCATTACTTCTTTCTTAACAAATCGAGTTAGTTTCACGATGTCTACCTATGGAATTGTAAGTGTCAGAGTTACTTATGATTTCAAGTATTTGCATTAAAATCACTGAGTTTATTGCTGAAATTCAGCTTTTCAGTAAACGAGGTCACAGAGAAAGTCGTGTGTTAAATAATTACAATGTTGATCAAACCAAAAGCCAATATGTTGGTAAAAATAATTACAGGGGTATATCATAGCACTGACCAGATTATCTAACCAGGAACTAGGGACCAGCGGAGATAAGTATTACTATTCCCTGTGATCCGTCGAACATACACTGTAGACAGCTTTAGAGGGTACTTACAAACTAGGTATTACAGCCTGGCTGTCAATATTAATACGAGTATTATTACCACAACCAACACCAGAGAAAAACCCTCTGAAAAGCCCCACGCAGTGGCGAAACAGGGGATTTCAAATGCCAAAACGAATAATTGAGAGACCGAGATATCACAAAAATACTAAACATCACACTTTGAAGTAGCTTCCATTATGCAACATAAGAGTTTAGCTAAATAGCTTCCGTGCCTACTGAAACAGAAACCAACGATTTATATTTGACAAAGTGTTTGTTCGACAGTCAAATCATGGGCAGGATAAGACTGTAATGGAAGTTTCACACTTTTAGAACAAAACGAAAGGATAATATATCTGGATAAAAATAACGAAACAATTTGTACTCCTTAGCTTGTGAACGAATTATCTAAAGGTTTGAAAATGTCCAGATTAAAGAGCCCATATAATAATGGCATTTTTGAAATGTCACAGTTTTATTGCAAGTCATCATAGGCAAGTTTTATCTAACACTGAGGCTTATGCATACGTGAGAATAAAATGCCTACCAACACATGAAATGTGATTATCTCAGTATAGATGCACCGTCGACATTTCTGTATTTCATCACACTTTATAGTCCACCATCCTAGTATAATTCATCATGCAGACCAGAGCTTCTTCAGTAGAAGTAATGTTGTTTGGATTACATCAGGCAAATTCTCCAATAAAGGCTACGTGACATGCCCTACAAAATCCAAAATAACTATTTTGTGACTCAGTGAGAACTCAAATTGTTCTACAGTGTGGGTAACACCCACAGTATGGCGATACATAGAAGTATTCCTAAATTATTGGAACCTGCATATGTGTAACAATTATGTAGTATAAGTTGACAAGGTTGCCAGTAAAATTATCCTAAAACTATCTTTGGTTATGTCAAGGGAATGGAACAATCTTCAATATGTAAAATAACCTTCCATAATCATTTGGTTAATTGATACTTTTCGACGGTTCCTTCGAAATTTTTTCTTGATGGTGTGATTTGAACCTTTACTACTGTATTTGAGTGCCAAGGGGAAACAGTTCTTGGACCAAGTTGAAACATTTTGTTTGTGTTTTTTGGCTGTTGTGCTTATAGTCAGACTATTTAAAATTTAATTTCCCACAGCTTTCCTGGACAGACTCTTAAGATTACCTATATTTCTTGCATTTAAATACAGTTATTTACCACAAAAATTTCACTATAAACAATTCAAATGGTTTACTACATGTTTTCGCAAAATATTTCATGACAATAAATAACTAGATACACATCTGCTAGCTGTGGTTAACCTATCTGAAATGCCTTAAAATCTTTTCCGTTGCCGAAGTAAGTCTTAAGTAAGGTCTGAACGGTGAATTTGCTGAGCTATTCTCTCAAACACGTTGATTAGATGAAAACTCGAAACATTGTAATAAAGTCATGTGTTTCAAACAATAGAGTGATTTTCCCATCCATAATTGGTACAACATACTTAAGTAATATCGGTGTACAAGAAGAACTGGTGTTTGGTTACATTAGCGCTATTGATTGTTTAAGTGAAATTTTAATTCCTTAAAGTGTATTTACTAAGCTTAGTAGTGAAATGTCCTGTCAACTGTTGGGTAAATGATGTATAAGTTTCCCCAACTGTCAAGTACAGGTTTGCTACTCCACTCCATGTGAAACATTTTGCTCAAATTTAGCCTTCTCAAATAATACCGTTTTCTGCACAGAGCCATTATAACAACCAAGGAAAAACAATGTGTGGGACACTCTAAATCCCGTTGTTTCTACATTGAAACACATATCTCAGATGAGTGGGTATCAAGACCACTCTTCATTATAGCAGATATATTTCAAAAAGAACATACTATTTTATCTAGCCATCTGTCGCCCTTCCCTAGCGCTTACCAACACTTTCAGCACAATTCCCTTAAACGATTCCAAAGCCAATAAATTCTTAAATTATCTAGGAGCTGCTGTTTATTTCCCTAGGTTGCATTATAGTAGTAGGCGTCTACATCTTTTTTCATTTCAGCGACCGTTTGAACTGGGTAGTTTCGGTGTTGACCTACGCAAGTGTTTCTTTTCAAATTATCTCAGAGTAACTTGTGTGAAAGTAAAGAACAAAGATTTCGATGTGAAAACGTTCAGATTACAGTCGAATTCTGGAATCGGAATCCAAAACTTCATATCACCAACTAGCAGTTAGACTGATGGTTTATACTCGTGCAGAAACTATGATTAACGTAACATTGGTAAACAATGTACAGTAGTGCCTCGAACGAGTAATGGATGATTTCGATGATTACAAGCTGAACTCAAAGGAGAAGTTCAACAATACCGTCCCAGAAGTGCGAACGCTTCACTTGACCTTGAATGCATGGTCGTCGTTGGCTAACAGCACCTGTCATTATCATAACTGAAATATCAACACTATTCACCAACTAAGGAGCAAATTTCACCTAGATCACGTTTTTAAGCACCGTATGGACATTGTGTTAATAGCTCGTTAGAGTTAGGACTAGGGTTAAGGTGAGTATTGGGGTTAGGGTCATAATTAGGGTTAGGACTGATTTTAGGGTTAGTGTTAAGTTTAGGATTAGGGTCAGGATTAAGGTTAGGGTTACGATTAGGAACAGATTTAAAATTGATGTCATTTATTTTAATCTGTTTTATAATCCTGGTAAGTAGTCGTCGATCCTTGTACTGGAAACCGTAGTAATTCAACCGAGTGCTTTTGGGGAAGATCGCACGACACGACAAGAAAGATAAACGATTCACAAAAACAGCTCATTCTTTTTTCATCTCGGTGAATACATGTACGCAAATTAGCCTAACTTAGCAACTGATACTCCTCATTATTACTGGGACGTATTTTTAAGTCATGTCAGAGAAAGATACTCTGTTTAATGTGTTCTCATGCATTTTCTTGTAAATATACGTCATTTTTGTGCAAAAATTCCTCATTTTTATAATTGGTAAGCTGAAGGTCACCCGTGTGTTCCTATCCCCTGGGACGATATTGTTGAACTTTGCCGAACTCAAATCCCCAATATTTATTTCCTAAATAGTTTCGTGTTAGTAATGAAGTGAATACATATTCATTTTGGAAGTAATATTCTGTGCCTGGACACACTTTATTTTGAATAGAAATTGTTACGTACACATTTACAACCAATTTTCAAAAGACTGTCAAAATGGAAATACAAACTTCCACTCCAGGAGAAACTTAACTATGGGTCGTTTTCTTTACTAAACTCATATTTTTAAACGATTCGACAAATATATTCCTGATTTAAAGACATACAAGTAAAACTCATCTAATAAGAAGCATAAAAGCTCAAGGTAATAGTGTAGACTTTCTTCACGTATGACCACCGTTAATTTTAAATACAGAATTTGAAAAATTATTGCTCAAAAATTATCTTAGTCTGCAAGGTTAACACTATGATTAATGTTCTCACTTGGACATCAGAATTGTTGCCCTTATCAAACATTGCAGAGTTGTATCAGACCAATCAACATTTTCTGGTCTGTACGATGGAAGAAGAGACTGCAATGTAGGTTTTTGGTAAGGACCAGAGACTAGTATTTCTTCTTCAACATTGTTTTTGACACACCTTCCAAACAACGAGTCTAACCAATAATCACGGAAAATAGAATTTACCGTCATAGCATTTCTCTCCCTCTAAACAAACACTCTGATATAGACAACCTTCATTGAGAAATGTTATTAGGATAGCGCTATGGATATCACATACCAACATAGCCACCGTTCAGCGCAGCATTTTTGAGATGGAGACTTTCATTGTAGTTCACAATTATCACAACAATAGATATAATTATTGTCCATATTTGTAAACAAGGCATCAAGTAAATGTGCTCATTAGTAGAAATTCAAAAACAACACATTTTGGAAGTTGAAAGTTCAGACAAAGTGATGCATACAAAGAAGTAATCTTAGTATTCGAAATTCGATTTTCAGTGATGGTTTTACATAAAGTCGTTGATTTCTTGATGCTCGCTGCTCAGTATTGTGGGACGGTTCCGTATCTCTGTTGAATTTCAGCAGAATAAAGTTGCTGCTAGTATTAGCAGCTGACGTTCCACTAGACAATCTTACAAAGCAACCTTAGGCAAACTAGAAAAGTGAGTGGATAACGAGTGTCTTAAACATCAGTAATCAATACTGATTTTAAGATCAGACGCTTTCATTTTGTAAGTATTCGTGTAGTAAATAATGAGTGCAACCATTTGTGGTTCGAAGTTCGTGACTGCCACTGAAATGTTCTGGCATTGACCTCAGGGAAGTTTTAGATGTTTCACTTTTCCTTGATTACTTATATCTGACAGTAAAGATTCGTCAGCATCTATAATAGACTGAAGCTTTCAACAACCATACTTTCGGTTTTGTTTATCTTCACGCTAACACAACTTTGGTCCTCACGAGAGGATCAGGAATAATGGTTTGTGGTGAAAGCATTTAGTATCATTTCCTAGTTGCAACAACAGCTGGTGAGAATAGGATGGATAGGTCTTGTTGCCTCTACAATGCCGGTTTATTCTGGCTTTTTGATTTGATTATTACCAGAGGCTGATCTCTGAGCAACCCTAATGAGTGTACCAGGCATGTTAATATATTGTTATTGCGCCGTGATACGTTAATAATCCCATGTTCAGTAGTGGAGAAAGGAAGCAGAATGGATGAGATTCATCGGAATTTCCCAACGGTATGTGACTCGTAATTAACCACTTGTTCTTTAAGATTTTAGGCGCTCAGCGACGATATTAGTAAGACGCAAATTCTAGGAAATTGTGAAACGGTTATTCTTGAACTTCCTGTGTTACCATTACTTTGTATATCAATAACGCTTTCAGCAGATGTACAGTTTTTCTTCTTGGCGAATTCTGAAATAAAGTGTAGTTTTGTGGCATATTATGACAACTTATTTCGAGACAATGAATGTCCCACTCGATTCATGAGTTTTATTTCGTCATCTCTAACAGTGCCTACCATTATGCATGTGAAGTCTGACTAAGTGTGTGCTATCCTGTATTGCTTTGTTGTATTCAGAAGAAATCTAGTAATAGCATGGATGTAATTAAATAAAGAGAGGTACTCACTCAGTCTATTACAGCACTGTGTGAATTTGACTGAGGCCTTAAGCAAAATTCAAATCAGTGAAATGTTTCCATGCGGATGGGCATAATTCGCTCCATTATAAGTTGTTTTCTTCGTTTGCAACTTCTCAAAATGACAGCTTGAGTTGTGAGTGTATAACAGAAGCATTGTAGGATAACAGAATGCAGTTTAGGACACTTAACGGATTTTAAATGGGCAGTGGTTCAAACCAACCACTGCTGAGATATTGTGTGCCTAAATGATGTTCAACTTTTCATAGATGAAGGCAGTAAAAGCGCTACGTTCTAACATAGCACTAATTATATTATGACGGACGTTGATAAGATCTTCCATATATTTACTTTACAACACATGTCGCTTATCATGAACTGTATTTTTAACTTCTGTGCATTTGGTTGTTTCCTGCCATACTTGGCATTATTATAATTATTCATTTGGGTTCTGAATGGAATATAGGGCTTCAACAACACATCCCCACTTCATTCTATTTTCTGCTGTCCTCTTCTTCTGGGTCCACGATTGACCACAATCTCTCATTCCCTCCCAGCGCAATCTACTCCATGTCATCAGCTTACGGGCATCATCAATATGATAAATAATATATATACTTGGAGTGCGTATATTTATAATTATTCGGTTACACATGATATATATAAAGAAAGTTAGTTGAATAATGTTGGTAAGCTCACTTCGCATAGGTGAAAGCAATTTACGTGAGATCGCTCGCATTTAGCGAAAATGCGCGCAACAGCTGAAGGCTGATTACACAATGTAAGTACGGTAGGCTATTCACAAAAGTTTTAAAATCTCTTGTAAAGCGTTAGTTTGTTTGCTGACGATAGCGTTTTCAGCAATGTCATCTGCAGGAGGCTCACCACAGCAGCTGACGTCCGGTTAAACGTGTTAAGAAGCATTGATGAACCGACAAAAGGCAGCAAAAAGTGAACTTTTTAATTTATACACGGTTAAAAACCAGAGTAATTGCGAACTATTCCATACAAAATGACGAATGGAGCATGCCGAAGCTAAATATTACCGTCGAATGGGTCAGTGAGATTTGAAATTTAACTGTCAGCATGTTTTCATTATTTCTTAGATATCCTGACTAAAAGGCATCGTATAGCTAGTGATTTGGATTTGTCAGCATAATCAACATATGGATGGAAATCCGGATGCGTCCTTAAGCTTGTTCGCCGTGCGGATTGGGTCAATTCTATTTCGTGTGGGGTTTGATTATTCTACGATTTTGATATATTCCTCAAAGAATCACCGTCATCATGGGAAGTATGTGTATGCTTTAAATGCATTATTTCGTGGACTCTACCATCATTGAGTTGTACCGACGGGAATTGTTGATTTATATGATTCCTCGCCGCTGTGGATAAATTATCATCGCATTCTTTTCAGAAAGTAGGCTAGTTGAAGTATAAGTAGTGTCTAAAATATGGATATCTTTCCAATTGATATTGTGGTAAGTTTCGCGCTTGTTTTCTTATATTTCATTCGTGTGTCTGTTTTGTTTCACTCGTTGTACCGGGTAGACATCAAAGGAATGACTCTTATGTGCTTGAGGGGTGTTGTCATAGCTGCTGCTTTTTAATCTGAAATTATAAATAGAGGCAAAACAAACAACAGCCGTAGTCTCTAAGCCCATGACTTCTGAAGCTCTTACTAGGCAGCTGACACTAATATCGCTTGCAGATTCTTTTAGTGAGTTGTTGAGTAGCTTTTCGAAGGAGGCCAATGTGCCTGCTGGCCACTTTTCCTCTATTATGTTATCTGAGCATATCTAATCGATAGTCACTGTACCTTTATGGTGTCTTAGGTTATTTCTATTGTCGTCTGGAAATAGAGTACCACTATTAACGGTATACTGTATGTGGTTTAGAGGCTTATGGGAAAGTACCAAGTTTAGCCACCGTCGATTTAGTCACAGTTTCCCAAGTCCTAGGATTTCGCAGCTGGCGAAGCTGCTCGTGTCATCTTCGGCTCCGAATATTTTTGGAGGTAATCACCTCTGTACTATTTCTACCTTTACTTTGTCTTCTGTACACATGCTACCAAATATGGGTGGGCAGTAAGCTAGGAGTGGGCACGCACAAACCTTGTACTGAAGTATTCTAGATTCATTTCTGTAGTAGTTCTTGAGTAGGAAGCCGATAAGCCCACGTGATTTCGACACTTTTTTCGAGATATGCTCAGAAAATGATAGGTCATGTGAATATTCCAGCCCTAGGTCTAGTACCGATTTACATCTGGGAAGTTTATGTCCTTGAATTACTAGGTTAGGTTGTAGGTTGGAAGAAACTACACAAAGCCAGCCGAGTGAGGATAAAGACTACCGCGATGCATTTTCGCGCATAGCATGAGTTATCACGTTCATGCCTACAGAGGCATTATAAGCGTCTCCTTTTGGGAAAATGTGTTACATTTAACTAGTTTCAAGCTTCTTCAGTCTATATAAGCGATATTTTCCTATATTATGTTCGTATTAATTCGTGGGAGTGTCTTGACGTTTCAGGTGAATTACAACGAAGAACGGAAAGCGCCTAAGGAAATTATATATAGAAGTGACTTTTTCACTTGGGAGCCTTAATAATTTAATATTTGTGAGTGATTTTAGGTTTTTCAGTAGTAACTTGACAACAGGCAATGGTTAACGTCATTGTAGTTACTCGATGACGTTAAGGCTTCTGAATTTGCAATAAGTCCATGGAGGCAAGGTAGATATCTGTTCTGAGGAGCTTAAACTTCTTTATTTTCATCTTTGATGGAAGAAATCCTTTATTATACTTCAAAGAAATCATATGATGAATGAGACAAACGGCTGAATTTTGCAGTGATTGTGTCCATTTTGATGGAGTTTATATTTGAAATTGTTCAGCCGAAGATGTGATACGAGTGGAAATGACTTCGCCACATTGAATGTTCGAACTGCTTACCGCATCAAGGGCATCAGTTTATTTAGATATCATTGTGCGCTGGGATAGAGATATATATATTTCCTATCAATGTAGGACACACCAGTTGTACAGGCATGGAATAATACGGATGGTTCGCATGTAGTGTAAAACTGCTTGCAGTTAGTGTAAACTTTCCATCGTAAAGTAGCTTGTAGCTGCATCCTATCACTATCACACCTGCTGCTTAAATCATATTAGTGCTGATAGTTATTAGTTTCCAGATAACCAAGGTATTCCAAGCTTCTTAATGAATTATCTGTAAAAGATATGAAAGCTGCACTTGTGACCCGCCTTTTTAACTAATTATTAAATAGCTTGCCCATTTGATTTTTGTGATGTTCAGGCTAAAATGCTGAAGCATATGCAGTTACTGAATGTTATTATCCTTGAAGAATCAGCGGATGAAAAGTGGCACAAAATCTGTAACCAGTAATTTCAATGTTTGCGTTACATGTTAGCTTGATTCGCTATATATTTCTAATTTTTCTGTGTGACTCGCGCAAGTGTTTCTCCAGTTCCATAATTGTATCCCATAAGTCTCACTAATCATTTATGGTTAATCGTATAAAAAGCCAAGATATCAGTTACCTGTCAACCTGATGAATGATAGACCATATATGCTTGGAACGACGAGCAACACAACTCCCGCAAAACATGGAAGTAATACGCACAGCTTGCCAATGAGCCAAAAGCGTCGAGCTGATGTGTCACTACAATCTACTCAGGCTGTAACTGACAGCAAAAACATGCGTTACTCAAGAATTTCCACAACTACGAGGCGAAACTTATATTATACAAAACATGTGTATGACCACTACCAGAATATTGTCCATTCATTCACAGCAGCACTCGCGTATGTGACAGGCTTAAATTAGAAAGTGTCCAACGATACTTTACGTCTAAACTACTAGGATTTGACTGCGAAAAGGACTACACATCAAGGTGTATAACTCTAGGTATTGACCCACTCTGGATGAGACGATTCAGCATTAATCTAACATCCTTCTTTAAAGTTTT